CTGTGTCGGGGAAAAGGAGGGGTGGGGGCGACGGCGGGATGGAGCGGGGGGGAAGAGGACCGAGCAAACGGACGGAGAAAAGAAAGGAGCTCGGCGATCTCGCCTCGGAAAGGGCGGCGGGGACGCTGAAGGGACGAAGAAGGGTCGCGGCGCGGGAGGGAGGGAGGACGGTGCGGCTCGCGGGGAGGCGAAGGCAGCGGCTCGTGGAGGTCCCAGCGAAACGGGAAACGAGGGAGGTTGCGGTGGAGTGGGGGTCGAGGTAGCGGGACGGCCGTGGAGGGAAAAGCGAGCACGTGCTCGGCTCATGGGCCTCACGAAGCCGCAGAGAAACCCGAGGAAGCGGTAATTTATGGCCCAAACGAAATTTTTAGACTTTCACGTTTCTGCGAATTCTGCTTTCCATCTCGACCGCGGCGACCCTTCGGGAACCGTGACGTGACGCGACGTTCGAAACAGCGGATATCTCCGACGACTTTCCCAGCGGACGTGCTGCGTTCTCGAGGGCTAAACTGTGAAATTCGAAGCCCAATTATGGTCAGAGTCGCGCACGAGCGTCGCGAAAGAAAAATGGACGGTGATCGTCTTAGCCTTGTTTTTCTAGTTGAAAACACGGTCGGTCGAATTTGCCTCGTTCTTTCTGCTTGGAAACTCGGAGAGTTTATTAATTTAATTAATTTAATTATATATACTTGTTAAACACGGAGAAATAGAGGACCAACTACGTTCGTCGATTTGACGATCGCGCGACGCTGATTTAATCATTCATCGACGATGTCGAATTTCATCGATTTCTTTTTTTATTTAATTTTGTTGTGCAATGTTGTAAATGTTACTGTAACGTGATTGTAATTTGGATATTTTGATATTTTTTGTAGCTGTCTTTAAATTAGAAGCAAATTCAAAGCAAGCAGTAACGCTTGAAAGCATTGTTATCTAGCTATTCAAAATAATTCTGTTCGGAATAATTATTTCTGAATATATCTGAAAATATTATTTCTTTTATTCATACTTTATTCGAATAATTTAGTCATTCTTTATTCGAGTAATTTATTCATTCGTTATTCGAATAATTTATTCATTCTTTATTTGAATAAATATTGGAATAAGGAATGAATAATTTTTATTCGAATAATTTATCCATTCTTTATTCGAATAGTTTATTCATTCCTCTTTTAAATTAAATTATTCATTCTTTTCTCGAATAAATATCGGAATAAAGAATGACTAATTTACCAGTATAATGAGTGAATAATTTTTATTCGCGTAATTTATTCATTCTTTACTTTAATAGTTTATTCATTTCTCTTTTGGGATAATTATTCATTCTCTTGTAACAGTTATTATTAATACAAGGAGAGTCGACCATCGTTCGTCGATTTTACGTCTTTCTATATACCCAACGAAAGTAATTATAATTGTAATTATATTAATAATTACAAAAACAAGGCGCACTTTTGTCTACAAGCAGCTGAAAAATTTAGGATAATTCACTATTATCCTCCACGCCACCCTGCAACAATTTTAACCCTGGAAACGGTGGCTAATTTCTAGATATTCATTAAATAAACAAATTAAAAAAGAATATACACACGAATCGCATTCAATGCCGCAAGTGCACACGCATCTTCGCCTGAACAGTTTCCAAAACCTTCGGTCACGACGACTTCGACGACCAACAGCACCTTTTACCCCAAAACCCTGAAACAACGGTGAAACAATTTCGGCCGCATGAACCGTCCAGCCGCGGCATTGTTGCAAGGGGGCGTGAAAACCGGCTGGAAGGGACGAGCCCCGATTAGTCGGCGCGCTTTTCCCCCCCACTCCGCGCGGCGGGTCGCCCCATCCGACGCTGGGCCCTACCGAAGCTGGGCGGCCACCCCGGCTTTCCCCCACTCCGCAACGCTGGAAAAGTTCGGCCGGTCCGGGAAGACGAGTTTCCCGCAGCCGAGGAACCCTCAGTCGCACCCACGCTCTTCGTTAAAGTGTTCGTTCTGTTTTCGGTACACCGCGCGATCTCAAAATGTGTCCCGCGATCAACCCCCGCGCGTCCTCGGCGTACCGCGAGCATCCTCCACACGCTTGGAATCGGCGCGCTCCTCGTCCGAAGCGGTGCTGCAACATCGGCGATCTCTTCGGCTTCCAGCTGGCCGCGTCCCTCGGGCTCTCGCGATTCTGGAGGAACCCCGTCGTGTTGAGGCGCGAGTCCTCGCACCTGGCTTTCTCGCGTTATTTCCTGAAATCGAATCGGCGGAACATCAGCCGCAACCTCGGCGTGGTGAAATTCCTGCAACGGAGGCGGCCACGCCGAATGGGACCTCGAGGAAGACGGCCCGGCGGCCTAATGGCGCCGCTGGGCCATCGCAGGGTGCAGCGAGCGCCCAGGGCGCAGAAGCAAGCGCCCGTGTACATAACCCGGCGTCAAAAGAAGCATGGTACGTGTCGCGCTGTTCTTCTTTATTCTTCGCTTTTTTCACTCGGAACGCTCGTTCTCGAGGATCCGAACAATTTCGGAAATCTTCGGAAATCTCCGGAAATTCGTTGTTCTCGCGTTTGCTCGTGTGTCGCAGCTGTCCGGTGATTGAGAAGCCGAACGATCGGCAGTTTTATTAATGGCCCCGAATGATCGAATTTTCTTAATGGCCGCGAATTCTGCTTCTTTTTATGGGCCTTGAAGCTTCGGCCCAGGCTTCGAAAGGTGCGAGTTTTCCCGATCGGCAGGGACGCGGGCTTTTACGGCGCCCTTTTCCATTCAGCCGTTTCCACGAAACCGGCGGCTAGGTCGGGAAAAAGAAGACCCCCCCCCCCCCGCCGGCGCGCTCCCCGCGCCGTAAGACCCTCGGTTTTCTCGCTTTCGACGCACGAATGGGCTTCTCGCTTTCGACGCACGAATGGGCTTCTCGCCGATCGTGAGCCGCTACGGGACGATCGGTGTTCATTGTTCGAACGCCAACGGTTTTCACTTTGTCGTTTGTTCGGACGATCGGCGCGTTTATGGAAACGCTGCGCGGCCATGACGGTTTTCATTTTTGTTGTTCGGACGATCGGGCGCGTTCATGGAAACGCCGCGCGTCGACGACGGCTTTCATTTTGTTGCTCGGACGAACAGAACGCGTTCATGGAAACGCCGCGCCTCGACGACGATTTTTATTCCGTTGTTCTGTCAAACAACACGTACATTGAAATGACGCGCGTCGTCGACGGTCTTCATTTTGTTGTTCGGACGAACACAACTCGTTCACAGAAACGCCGCGCGTCACCGACGATTTTTATTCCGTTGTTCTGTCAAATGACGCGCGTCGTTTCTTGTTTGGAAGAACGACGCGTTCATGAAAACTGCGCGTCGACGACGGCTTTCATTTTGTTGCTCAGTCGAATACAACGCGTTCACAGAAACGCCGCGCATCGCCGACGATTTTTATTCCGCGTTCATGGAAACGCCGCGCATCGCTGACGGTTTTCACTTCATTGTTCGACCGAACAACGGCGCTTACAAAAACGTCGCGCGTCTTCGACGATTTTCACTTTATTGTTAGTTCAGCCGATCAATGCGTTCACGAAAACGTCGTCGCGTTCACGAAAACGCCATTACGTTAAAGAAAACGCCGTTGCGTTCACAATAACGCCATTGCGTTAAGGAAAACGCAGTTGCGTTCATAAGTCCCGATTTTCACACACGCGATCGAGAATTTTCAGCCGAACGAATCACAGCCAAACACGAACAGCCGCCATTCTTCCCGCGTTTCCCGTGTCCCTTTCGAAGAATTTCGTCGCGCATGCGCATCGATTCTTCTTCTTTTACGAAGCTTCGGAAAAATTCTTTCGTCTATATCGGACATTGTAGCGCGCCCAGGGACGGACATAGATTTTCGTCGCCCTATGCTGTTGACATGTTTTTACCTTGACATAACTCGTGACCGAAAGAAAAGGTTAAATTAAGTGTCTCAGATTCTTTTTCTCAGATTTTTTCCACGCAACTTGTATTTCATTCGAGCTGTTCGACCGACTGGTTTTCTAGAGAAACGAATTTTGCACAGGAAATTTGTTTGTGTTACAACCGGGAGTGGAACGATAAAATGAATTGAAAAACGATGTTCTTTCGATCTTGTTAAACGGAAATGACGAGAATTTCGAAAATGCGTATATCTTAGCGGACTCGGCGCGAAGAAAGTTTCATGGAAATCGGCTGACATTGTTGTTGCGGCCTGTAAAAATTTGTACATCGTAAAACTAGCAATTTTTCACGAAAAAAACAGATGTAACTGTGACATCTTTCGGTGGTCGTGGCTCGACTGTGCGTCGTCGACCAATGAAATTTTTAGCATCCGTGTAAGTTATCATCTAAAAAAGGAACTCAAGTCGATCAGCCCAATTTTAAGAAAGCTTGAAAAATATAACAATACCAGCGAGCTGGCATAAATTAGCTTCTACTGTACTATAATCGATTATTACATATGTTATTATTATTATATATATTATATTAATCGATAATATAATATAACAATCGATAATGTATAATATAATTACTGTATGATTATTATATTATACATATATAATATAATATTATCATGTGTAATATTTGAATGCAATTATTATATAATAGTTAATATTTATATATGATTATTACATAATATATAATATTTGTATGCGATTATTATATAACATATATTTATATGTGATTATATTATATAATATATAATATTTATATGTGATATTATATATTTTACAATATTTATATATGGTTATATTATATAATATATAATATTTATGTGATATATATTTTACAATAATATTTATATATGATTATTACATAATATGTAATAATCGATAATAATATCTAATCGAGCGATTCTCGAATGACGGCGACAGATATCGAATTAATTGAGCAGCACAAATTAATTTAGACGCGTCCGCGCACGAAACGAACAATTTTCCTGCCTAACGGCGGTGGTCGTCGCCGATCCTGCGATCCCAGTGACCGAAATAGAGATTTTCTTTTCCAGATATCCGGGAACGGTCCAGCCTGGTGAAAGAGGTGCCGCAGATGGTGTCGATCTGCCAGGAGGCGCCCCATCTGTTCGGCGACGTGTTCCAGGATCATCTGCTGGACTTCGTTATAAAATACCTGCAGGACTCGGACAATCAGGTGAATAATTTGTCTCTCCCCGCGCGACCCCGTCTATCTCTCAGCCAGATTACGATCTCACCGGTGCTCTCGAAGCCGGCGATCCAGAATGATTTTCGGCAGCCCCTATAACCCGGCGGCCGGGGAACCGCAGCGGATTCTCGTTTCCCGGCGAGGAAGCACCGTGAAAAGCCGGCCGATAATTACTACTTATAGGCGCCTCGTTATTTACCGATTCCTTTTTCCCCCCCAATGGCCAGGTACGACTGACGGCCGAAGAAGCGATGATGGCGCTAATAAAGAGAGGATTTCTAGACACCGACACGATCGAGGTGAAAATCTGCCCCCTTATAGACGCCCAATGTAGGTCCGCCGATTTGCTTAACCGAGCCATGACCGTAAGTCTGCATTTTTCTATTATTTCTTTTCTCCTCTTCTTTTGCTTGTTTTTTCTGTTCTTTTTATTATTTTATTAGTTTTAGTTCTCCTGTTTTTAGTCGCATTCTCTTCCGTTATCTATTTATTTATACGTTTATTTATTATATATTATATGTAATGTATTTGATATAATTATATAATATTTTATAATATATATAATATAATATTGTACAATAATATATATTATATAATGTATAATAATATATATATATATAATATAATATTGTACAATAATATACATATAATATAATGTATAATAACATATATTATTATATCATTATATATTTCATACAATATGTTCATATTATTTATTATATATTTCTCCGCCCGTTAGCCCGAGTCGTAAATAACATCCGCTTTTATGTCAGACGCTCATCCTGTATTTTCTTCTTTATTTCTTACTTTATTTTATTCATATTTCGAACACTCGTCTATTTATCGAAAGCGAAAACTCGTTTCGTTTTCCGGATTAAACACGAACTCAATGACGGATTAAACACGGAACAACAGATCTATATAGATATTCCACCCAGCTCGGAATTTATTTACGACTCGACCTGACATTTTGATCAATCCATCGATCAATCTATTCTTAAAAAAAAAAACTACGAAATAATTGCGACGGGTCCGTCGATATCTCCCGGCAACGTTTCCACACCCGTTTCCGGGCGCAAAAAGTCGCGTGAAAGCGGTTCGGCGATGAACGCGTTAAGCTTCTTCCGACAGAAAGTTTCGAACAACCCCGACGAGATACCGTAATCTATCCGTCCCCTCCCCCCTCTCCCACTCCAACCTCTGCGCGTTTATCGCGCTGCCGCAACCGATTTCAGGGGACCGAGCCGAACGGAACGAGCGTCGAGAACGCCACCTCCGATTATTATTATGTTCCGCGTAGCGATTCTGCATTCCGTCGTTGCGCCACTGTCGCCTCGGTGGCTGTGCTCGTTGTCAATGAACGGGCTAACACGTGTAGAAAGAGGAGGCCGCGCGTAAACAGGAAAGAGCGGAGAGAAAACGTCGAAACGTTTTCCCGCGCCACTCGAATCCTTGATTCTCGCTCGACTTTTAATTGGTTAGGCGATGCGCGCGCATCGGCGATGACGATTTTTTTTACCTTCGAAACGCTACTCGAGCGAGCGTTGCGTTTCGACTAGCGCAGCGATGGCGAATCTTTGTTGGAAGTTAGGTTACATTTTGTTCGTTATTTTTTTTCCTTTTAGTACTAGCTCTCAGTGGCGATTACAGTCGATATACAATTACAATCGATAATGTATGTTATTTATTATATATATTATCAGTGGCGTCGCCGAGTCAGTGGTATCGCATAAATCAGTGGCGATTACAATCGATATACAATTATAATAATATATTATTTATTATATACATTATTAGTGGGGCGTCACTAGCTCAGTGGCGTCGCTAAGTCAGTGGCGATTATAATCGATATACAATTATAATAATACATATTATTTATTATATACATTATTAGTGGCGTCACTAGCTCAGTGGCGTCGCCAAGTCAGTAACGCCACTAGCTCAGTGCCGTCGCATAAATCAGTGGCGATTTCAATCAATATACAACTACAATCAATAATATATTATAATATACATTATCGGTGGCGTTGCCAAATCAGTAACATCACTAGTTCAGTGGCGTCGCCAAGTCATTAAATCGATATATTACAATCGACCTACTATTCCGAAATATTTCCAACAAACGAGGATAATCAATTACCATTTAATGAAAACTACCTCCTTTCCGTAAAATGCGAGTCAATCCACTTTCGTACAATCAATTATTTCAAAAAACGATTTCGTGTCGTCAGCAGCGTTTCCTCGTCGAAGTAACAAACGGTTGCGATTTCATTCAAATACTTCTCTGTATTAAAATGCTTCAATAAGCATTTCACTTCGGTAAAACTTGCGCAGTTACTCCAACGAACACTCATTGTTAAAACGAAACTCAATGCCACGGGGCCAGAGTGCGGGGCCGCCGTTCTCGCGTTTTGCGTCAAGACGAGCGAAGAGGAAGAGTCGATTTCCGATCGACGCCCTATACAATCGAAGCATTTCTATCGGAGATCCGCGCCGTTATCGAGAGCACAACACACTCTGTGCACCCGTGCCCGAAAAACAAGAGATAGATATAGCGATATATCTTTCTCTAGAGAGAGAGAGAGAGAGAGTGCGATATATATATATATATATATAGAGAGAGAGAGAGAGAGAGAGAGAGAGAGATAGAGAGTGAAAGAGAGAGAAATAGATCTCCGTGTCGGTTGCACGCGTTCCCCAGTCTCTCGGACGGATTCCGTCTGAAAGACATAGGTAGTGAGATGTTCTCACGCTATCGCGTCTCACTATCTTGTCTTTCATCCGGCGTCCGTTGCGCATCGACGCTCACCGGCAAATTCCGGACGAGAAAAACAGAATTCGTTTTTAGCAATGCCTGGCGTTGTCGCACCGTGAAAACAGCCGGCCGGGATAATATGCGCGACGATATCGAGTTAAGCGGCCGGCTTCGGGACGAGATAGGGAGAGCGACAGCGGGAGAACGAGAGAGAGAGAGCAAGAGAGAGAAACAGAGCGAAGAAAAAAAAGAAAAGAAAATAGAGGGAGAGAGAGAGAGAGAAGGGAAAATAGAGAAAAAGAGAGAAGAGAATATAGAGGAAAGAGATAAAGCTAGAAAGAGAGAGGAAGCGAGAGAAGAGAAAATAGAGGGAAAAATAGAGATAGAGCAAGAGAGAGAGAGAGAGAGAGAGAGAGAGAGAGAGAGAGAGAGAGGAGAGAACAGAGGGAAGAGGACGTTCCGGCAAGGATCAGGAAGATTCACGACAAGGGACATGCTTTTACCATCAAAGTTGGTTTGTCATAGAGATCAACTATCACAGCCAGCTTTGATGAGCAAAATTGTGTCCGTACTCGGCGCGACTCACCGGTGGAATTCAGCGAGCAAAAAAGGGAGCTACCGAGAGAGAGAGAGAGAAAGAGACACCGACGAACAGCGAAGGAGAGAGGGAGGGACGCGGAAATAATTACCGGAGAGTCCGGGAAGCCAAACGCGCGTCCCTCGGAATTGAGGGAGCATGGAAACGAGAGTCGGGATCCGCGAACCGGACGCGACCGAAGAAGAGAGAAAGGGGAGAGAGAGAGTCCAGAGAGCGAGAGAAAAAGCGAAGAAGAGAAAGCAAGCAAGAGAGAATAAAATCAAGAGAGAAACGAAGGGAAGAGACGACAAAGAGAAACAAACGCTTCACCGAGAGAGAGAGAGAGAGAGAGAGAGTGAGAGAGAGAGAGAGAGAGCCACCGAAACGAAAATACCTTTTGCGGTCCGATACATCAAATTGGTTGTGGAATGTTTCGAGTCATATCACAGCCATTTTGATGAGATTGACCCGCAGAATCGATCGTCGTGGAAGCGGCGCGGCGGCGTCCCGTGCATCATCATCCCCCGTCATCGAGCGCGCGCTTAGTGCCCGCTTAATTAATAATCGGCCGCGGTCGCCGCGGGAACCGGCGGAGAAAAGCAGAGATACACTCGCGCGAAACAGGAACGAACGAATCACGAGAGCTATCGTTTTTTACGACGTCGTAGCACGCGTTCTACCGCCCTCGTCTCCTCCTCCTCCTCCTCCCCTCTCCTTCCCCAACCCCTCGACCGTGCTCGCGAGAAGACGAAGGAACCGCGCCCCGTGGAAGCTGCGACGAGAAGAAGAGGAGAGGAACGCGATCCAATCGTCAAATTGGTTGTGGCGTGTTGCTAACCAAGAATTTCATATCACAGCCATTTTTGACGATTTGGATCGCCGTTCTTTGCGACGACCGGCCAGGCCGCGCGCGCGCGGATACCGTCGCGACGGTGTCTTTTGGGAGCAACGAAAAGACCGCGCGCGCGCACGTTAAGGCGACCGAGGGATGTTCCTTTCGGATGTTTCCGAGGGAGGAGATCGTCATCGCGGCGAGATTCCTCCGCGGCGACGAGGAATCTTCGCGCCGAGGACGGCGAAGACACCGCGATAGCGCGTCGCTCACAAAGTGGTTGTGATATGTTGAAATAAAAAGATCATATCACAGCCAGCTTTGATGAGCGTTGCGCCGCGGATATGCGTTCGACGACTTCGAAGACGACGCCCGGTTCGGTTCGCGCCGCGGATCGCTGGACGATTATTGCCGATCTGCGAGAATATGCGATGCGCGAGCGGAAAATCGAGATTCACCTACTTGGCTGTGGCGTGTCGTTTTTAAGGCGTCCATTTGTGAGAATCGAGCGACGACGAGTATACTCGTCGAGCACGGAATGAGCGTCGCTGTTAAGATATTGGATCGAATGGACGGTTTTATTTGATAAAGTTAACAATTTTATCGCTAATGTTCGCTTGTTCGCTTGATATTAACCCTTTGCACTCGAGTTGTAATTCAAGAATCAAGTCAAGTTTAAATTTAGATTTGAAAAATTGTTCGAAGTATAACTGTTGTACAAGTCGCAAGACTCAATTTCACACGCATAAAATGCGCTCTGTCACATAAAATGGAGGCAGAAAAATCATCAGGTCAGGAAAATGATTTTTAATTTATAGTTAAAACGGCTTCGAGTGCAAAGCGTTAAAGATGTATCGACGGCAATCTCTCTGGTCGCGGACGACTTTGCGAAGCTGGCCGAAATGTTCTCGCCGTCTCGACGGATTCCGTTGTAACGACGCGGCGAACGCCGACGATAAATTGAAAAAGGCTCGGCCTTTGTAAAATAAATTGAAAAATCGAAGCGAATTCTGCGAAGATCTCGGCTGCGGATTTTTACGCGAAAAGAAAAATTGTCCGCGTTGTTTTCAACCCTTCGCGCTCGAAGACGTTTTAAATTCGATATAAAAAAAAGGAAAATAGTTTCTCTAATCTGATGGTATTTTCATTCCGTACGAATTACTGCATTTTATGCGCTCGGAAGTTGTGCAATGCACTTTTAACATCAATCTCCATTTGATATGACAAAGTGCATTTTATGCGTGTGAAATTGAGTCTTGTGGTGACTCGTACAACTGTTAACAATTTTTCAAACCTAAACATTGTTAATGTAAAAATTATCTTGGAACGTGATGTAACAATTTTAGTGGTGCCTCAGTGTCACCAATCGAGTGCAAAGGGTTAATAGATCTCGCGCGGGAGCGTGCGCGCGCGCGCGCTCGCATTCCGCGGCAACCGATTTCCAAGAAGAACACTTCCGATCGCGGACCCGATACGGCGAGGCAACGAGGCCGGAGAGTCCTCGCGCGGTTTCCGCTTTCGGGAAAGGTTCGCGGCTCTCCGTAGTTTCTCAGGGTCGAACCGACTCCCTCTTACGGATCCCGTGGATCCGCGACGCGGGCATCATCGGGGCGCATCGATACACGATCCTCTCCCGCGCGATTCCCCGTAACACGAGAGCCTCCCCCCTCCCCCCTTCGTTCGCTTTCTGGGAACGTCTAATAATTTTATTCTATCCTACAGCACGACGATGCGAACGCTTCGCGGTTCGAATTACCGCGTCGACCATTTCCGATTCGACTCGCGAAACTACGATTAATGTCCCGCTATTGTTCTTGTCGAGGCTTTATATGCGCCTCGGCGGAATGTTTTAAACATTTTGTCGCTCGGCTTATGTTTTTGCGTACTTCGGGACACTGGAGAGGTCTGGTCGAAAGGATGTTCTAGTTTATGCGTTATCTGTAATCATTTAATCTGAATTTGTCGGTGGAATTCATTTATTCGTTCATTATTTATTGATTGATTGATTTATTTAACATCAACGGACCAAAGGTCCTTACAATATCTCTACAAAAATTGAACGCAGTAATAATAATGGTAGTAGTAATTACAATAATAATACTAATAATAACAGTAATAATAATAACAATAATAATAATACTAACAATAATAGCAGTATAAAATCATAAAAAATGGTTACATTACATTAAAAAAGCAGCGCGATCACTCTGTTTAGATTTGGTGTCGTACCCAAACTTTCCTACACACGACGTACATCGCATAGCTGTTTTTTTCCTTTTTTAGTTTTGTTTTGTTCGTCAACCTTCACGAGCGCTACGGCGCCGCTTGGTTCTCTTCGCAATCGATTTTAACACTAAATTGCCGAAACGAGTCAATTTGACTCACTCACGATTTTGTTGTAATTTATTGCTATTTTCTAATATATATATATATGGAAAACTTAAATAATTGTTTTCAAAACATGCGTTGGTTTTCGATAGAATTATGACCAACAGTTTTTAACACTAAATCTACCGCGGTCAAAATGAACGATTTTTTTATTTCACGATACTACAAACTTTGAAGACTTCTTCGTGAAAAATGATCGAATAAATTATATTATTGAAACAAGTCGCATAATTAAAACTTTACAAAATCCAAACGAATTCTATCTTTTCACTCTTATGAGTCGATGCGCACTAATCATCATTACAAGTCGATTGGTTTAGTGTCAAATTATATTATTGAAACAAGTCTCATAATTAAAACTGTACAAAATCCAAATGAATTCCATCTTTTCACTCTTATGAGTCAATGCGCGCTGATCATCATTACACACAGATCGGTCGGTTTAGTGTTAAATTATATTATTGAAACAAGTCACATAATTAAAACTGTACAAAATCCAAATGAATTCTATCTTTTCACTCTTACGAGTCAATGCGCGCTAATCATCATTACAGATCGGTCGGTTTAGTGTTAAAGAAAAATTATTCAAGTTTGCCATTTTTCGACTGTGTTTTCTCAACGAGCCCTGGAACTCGAACGGTTAGAACCCTTTATACAAACGCAAAACCCGATGGTATAATAAAGAGCGCAACGCAAGAGTATCCACGATTCTCTTCGAGGTCGGGAGAAAAACAATAGGAAACGTTTCAACGCATTTGTACGATCGTTTGAACGAAACGCGCCTATTTATACCCGGTGTCCCAGGGAATCGTGAGCGACCGATAAAAGAGCACGAATAGATAACGAATCGGCACAAGAATGTGAACTTGTTTTTACTTGTCCTACATCTTTTACACATCCGGATTTGACTGCACATGCGTTTATAGGAACGCCCGACATATCGGGTGTGCCGGCCAACCTAGCGCATTTGTCAAAATGGTACAACAATCAACACGACAAGAAAAGCACCTTAGCGTATATATCCCTCCTCTCCCCTCTTATTAGCTGCCCTAATGTAACAGCTAGTACCAGAGGGAGCGTGCCTATTTGTCTCGGAGATAATAAAATAGTAAAAGGGAAAGAACTCGATGTACACTTGTTCGCTTGTTTTGAACCTTTTGCTCGTCGGTTCCGACAGTTTCATTAACGTAGAAAGGTCTCGCGATGTACCTGGTGTCCCAGGGAATGGTAGATGGTTGATAGAAAAAAGTATAATAATCACCTGTTAGATATTAAGTCAGTAAAAGAACGAGAATGCGTCTGCCCTTGTTCTGTATCTTTTACGTATCCGATGAAGTCCGTGAAATATATGTAGTAACCCCGCCATATACCGGATGCCTCGGAGAATTGTACGCGCGGTCGTGTAAATAATATAGCGTTCATACGACGAAACCGCATGACGAAACCCCCCCCCCCCTTGCTAGCTGTCCTACTGCCGAAGTTAGCAAGAGACGACGGGTGCCTAATTGCTTCTTAAATAATAAGATCGTGAAGGAATAAGAACTCGTTTTTCCACTTGTTCTATATATCTTTTACTCATCCCGTAGGATCAAATGTTAGTGTATTGAAACGTCCCGCGACATACCAGCTGTCCCAGGGAATCGCGGGGCGATCAGTAGCAATTTATAATAATCAACTCTTAGATGGTTAGTCAGTAAAAGAATAAGAACTTGCTTCTACTTGTTCTGTACCTATCCGTGTCCCATGTATAGATGTTGCAACGCCGCGATATACCAGGTGTCCCGGAGTATCGCGGGTGATAGTCAAAGGAATCATAGCAATCACAAGACAAGAAGGTACTTTCGCGTTTATATCCTCCCTTCTTACCCGTCGTGTCAATAGGATAAGACGGGAAAAAGTGTCTAATTGCCTCTTAGATAATAAGGATAGTAAGGAAAAAGAACTCGCTTCCCCTTGTTTCGGACCTTTATATGTACGCAAGGGTAAGAATTACTAAGTATTTAGAGTAGGAACTTCCAGTGAAATACCGCGTCTATTTGGAAATCAGGGGCGTTCGATAGAAAATTATGATCGCCGTTTAGATAGTAAATTAGTAAAAAAATGAGAACTCGTTTCTAATTGTACCGCACCTTTTATGTATTCTAGCTCTTGCCGATGAGCATGGAAATGCAGCAACGCCACGATATACCAGGTATTCTGGAGAATCGCCGGCGTTTGCTAAAAATGTGTCCGTCGCTAAACGCTTTATGATTTTAAACGAATCGAGACACATTTAACCTTCGCATTCGGATCTCGCCGATACTGCGACACAATATATTCATATCGGAACGCACCATCTGTTTCCAATTACATATTTTTCTTTGTACCTGTAAGGTAGCCACGTAAAATGCATAATTAAAAACGCGAAATCTTTTATTCATCGGTTCCTAGAAAATCACCGATCAACATCACAATTTTTCTTTGAACTCGACTCCGACTACAACGTAATCTCAACGTTTCCACAAATCTGTTTCGAGTGCAAAGGGTTACATTTATTCTGCATGCTCGATGTATGTCCATTGCGTGTACGAGCGAGGCTAATAATTAAATATCAAAATTGATCGACAGACGCGTCTTCCAAAATCTATGGGAGAGCGTTTATATAACCTTGAAAAGCGTGCCGGAGAACGCGAGAACGTGCGTAGAGTGACACATACACAGACGCGTCTGTCGCGTTCTCGCCGCGCGATGATTCACTTCTGGCGGCCTACCTCCCCCCGCCCCCAGCCTGCGAACAATTAAATTCGTCGTTGAACAATGACCCACTGATTTCGACGAGCGGGGGCGCGCATGCGGGCGCCGAGAAGAAGAAGACGGTCCTCGAAAATCGTGGGCGGCGATCGATCCGCACCCGGCTCCCGTGTCCCCCCGCGCGAGAGCCGATCGATCAAACAGATGCGAGCGTATCCAGCATCCCTGTCCGACTCGATACGATTCGATCCGATTCGTTTCGGTACCACCTCCTGCGGTGAATTTATTTCCAGGTGTTCGGCGACGCGAGTTCGACTGTTCCTCCCATCAGAGTGGTTGTGATGTGGTGGCTTGGACTCGTATCACAGCCAGCTTTGATGAGCGGAACGGCGCGATTTATGTCTTCGTTAAACCACGACCGTAAGCCGGACCGGACGAGAGAGACGTTCCGAATCAACACGGGGGACGACCACGAGCGTAGAAAACCGAGGGGAAATATATATCGCGCGTGAGAGACGCCGACACGTCCGAAATGTTGCGTTTCTTTGTCCGAGACTCGCGCAGAATCGCCGCCACGCGCAGAATCGCCACGCACAGCATCGCCACGCGCAGAATCGCCAGGCGCAGTGTCGCCACGCGCAGAATCGTTACGCGGTGCAAATCGTTACTCGCCGCTAGTCCCTTTCGTTCCCTCGCTGTCCGCCTCCTTTCCTTCGGCGACCATCCGTTCGATCAGTCTATCGTAGGAGCTCGACGGGTTTAGAAACCTCAAAATGTAACGTCTAGTTTCACATCGATGTGCAGCTCATGATCGACATAGCCCCGCTGATCGGGAAGGAGGCGACGGAGAAGCTTTTCCTACGTCGATACGTTGCCCTCTGCAAAGATGACGAATTCTGCATCAGACGGATCACCATTCTGCGCTTTCCGGAGATCTGCTCGCTCGTCAGCAAGAGAACGTTGCTCAGGGACTTGGTGAGTGTAAATTTCCTATTTATTTATTTAGAACGCGATTTCGTGCATCCGCTAGATAAAAGATAAACGGACATGAAATTGCCGTTTATTTTTTTAACGCCGAACCTACCGCGACGGCCATTTTGGGCGGATTCGTATTTTCGGTTTCGAGAATCGTCGACGATTCGGAGACGCCCATTATTGGAAACGATCGAATTGATTTTCAAATTCGAGCGTACATTGTAATCAAATTGATGTTAATTCCAGTTTTATAGAGGAAAATATATATTTTTTTATACGAAAAGTTCACGATTTGGACGGATTCGTATTTTCGATTTCGAGAATCTTCAACGGTTCGGAGACGCCCTTTATTGGAAATGATCGAATTGATTCTCAAATTCAAGAGTACATTGTAATAAAATTTATGTTAATTCTAGTTTTATAGAGGAATATATATATATTTTTATACGAAAAGTTCACGACTTGGGCGGATTCGTATTTTCGGTTTCGAGAATCGTCGACGGTTCGGAGACGCCCTTTATTGGAAACGATCGAATTGATTCTCAAATTCAAGAGTACATTGTAATAAAATTGATGTTAATTCTAGTTTTATAAAGGAAAATATATACTTTTTTATACGAAAAGTTCACGATTTGGGCGGATTCGTATTTTCGGTTTCGAGAATCGTCGACGGTTCGGAGACGCCCTTTATAGGAAACGATCGAATTGATCTTCAAATTCAAGCGTACATTGTGATAAAATTGATGTTAATTCTAGTTTTATAGAGGAATATATATATTTTTTTATACGAAAAGTTCATGACGTAGAAGATTATGAAAAGAACAGGTTCACTTTAATTTTTTTTTTTGAAAATTTTAATGTAAGAAAAGATTTTATAATTTTGTATGTTCGTTAACAATTGCAACTCGCTAACAATGAAAGCTATCGGATATATGGAAATCAGTCTAATCTATCACTTTAAGTAAAAATATATTCTATTTTATCGCTTTATACGAAAAGGTCACGAAGTAGAAGATTATGAAAAGAACAGGTTCACCTTCAATTTTTTTTTCTTTTTTTGAAAATTTAAATATAAGAAAAGATTTTATAATTTTTATGTTCGTTAACAATTGTAACTCGCTAACGATGGAAGCTATCAGATATATGGAAATTAGTCTAACCTATCACTTTAAGTAAAAATATATTCTATATTATCGCTTTTAGTGCTCTGTAGGTTCGGCGTTAAAAACGCAACGTACGTATTAATCCTTTGCACTCGACGTCATTTAAACTCTAAATCCAAAATAGTTTTGGATTTTTTGGTTTTAATTTAACCTTTCCATTTTGTACGACTTATTAGTTTAATTTATGCATGTGAAATGGAGTCTATATAATAATTATATAGATATTAACACAATGAATTAATTAAAGAAAGATAGCGACATTTTGTATCGTCTCTCTGTATCTTGTAATTAATTCAGACACAAGTTTTACGTTCGCATAATCCACATATAATATTTATACGATGCAATTAATTTGTTGTCAAAAATTGTACTTACCTATTTTGTTTCTGTTGTTCCTGCAGTTCCCCATCTACGTCGACCTGAGCTGCGACAAATTATGGGGCATCCGGAAAGCATGCGTCGACGTAATGATGTCGGTGTCCTGCTGCATGACTCGTCAGCACCGTAGATTGTTACTAGCTGATCTTCTAGCCGCACATCTGAACGACGAGTCAAAATGGGTACGAATAACGGCCTTCCAAATCCTTGGGCCGTTTATATCCACGTTTGCCGAGCAATTCACCGACATCTCCTACAATGGCCAGGGTGAATTGGAATTCACGATGCAGCAGGAGAACGGTTGCAGGTACAGACGACGAAACACGCGGTCGCACTTTTTTCGGTCCCGGTCGCTTCCGTAATTTCTCTTTTTATCGAGTAATAAAATGAAGGATGAATGTTCACAGTATAAAGTACACGTACGAGGATATCTTCCCTACGACGTGCCGGGTACGAAGCTGCGCTGTCGACGCGAAGGACCCCACCTCCAAGGAAACCTGCAACGCGGCTGTGTATGTGGAGAAGCCAATTGTCGACGAGGAGCAGCAACTAGAATCGTCGGAAGACGATACTTTCACGTTGAACGTCTGCAAGTCGAAGGTGCAACTCATTTTATATCCGACGAGCTAATTGTTTTTGCTGAAAATTCAAATCAAATCGCTCGGTTAGAGTTTCGCTCGTGTCACCTCGGTCGGTGTAAAGAAAAACGCTCGCGCGACCTTTGTTTTTGTGCACAGCCGTCGAGCTCGAACAGCCGAGCTCGGCGCTGATCCAGGTTGAACGACCCGCATTGTATACACAAAACGGCCGCTTTGCTTATGTCCTCGATGACTTGTCGCCTGGCTCGTCCTACCAATAAGCCCAATATCAAATCCGTTACCTATTTTCTATCGTCTCCTATGTGGCATTGTTCGTTAGGGCATTGCCCCGTGTTCGCGAACGTTCGGCGCCGTTTAGTCCTTCCAATATTCAAAAGTCGTACCGTTCCTTCTTTTTTTCCTATTCGATGACTCACGACAATATAAATGTGCCCTCACACCGCGACCACGAACGGTTACAAAATCTGTTATCAGCTATAATTACGCTAATCACGTTCGGCTATTCTTAACACCTTGCGCTTGCAATTTGCTACGCTTAATAAGTGTCTTTTTATTTTTGCTGCACTTCTGTAGCTGTGATAGATCGCTCGATCGCATCGCTTGTGTGCTTCGCGATATTTTGTCGTTCTATATTGTACATTTCCTCGGTACGATTAGAACACAGTCTTTCATCGTACAGTCCAATTGCAAACCTTTTTATAATTTCCTCTAACAGTTCTGGAGAAAAATTGCGCGATTAATACGCTTCTTGGATTGAAATTCTCTATGATGAAACTTGACGCATCTTTTGAAAATATCAGATTATTGATAGAACACGACCGGTTGAATTAGAGCATTCTTCCTCGCAAGTATATAATGTAGATCAATTCTTTGTAAAGAAAAATTCTTTCTAAAAGAAATGATCAATAGTGCGTACGCGCGCGCGCGCATGTGCGAATTAGTAAAATTATTATTACCACTTCTTCAGTCTTTGTGAAACCGTTTCTCTTCTCCTTGCAGATTCACAAATACTACGAAATGAAAATGGACAACGTCGAGATATACAATTCGTTCTTGTACTATTACACCGCGCCGGACTTGCCACCCGACGACGAGTTGGTCGAGGCTGCGAAGAAATCCACGGCGCAAAATAACAGCAACCGGAGGTCGGGCAACGGGAACACGAACAAAACGTTCACGTTGACCGAGCTGTTCAAGGAGGACAAATATGGGACGGGAGACTTCGACAAATTCAACTTCCACGATCAGAAGACCGTTCCTCAGCATTTGATCGACTCGTTTCTCTCGATGGCCGGGCCGGACGAGTGTTTTGACACGGGCGGGGATTATCCGCATCACTGCGCATTCAGCTTCCCCGCGGTCGTGCTCGCGTTAGGCAAGAAACAGTGGCCTTGTCTAAGGGAAGCCTATCAGCTGCTGGCGATGGCGAAGGAATATAAAGTGAGGCGCACCGTCGCTTCCGGCATCCATGAAATCGCCGCCATTTTGGGCCAAGATCTCACCTCCGACGAGCTTCTGCCTATACACTACGGCTTCATCAAAGACCTGGACGAGGTCAGGATAGGCATACTGAAGAACCTTACCACCTTCTTGAATCTGCTCGAGCCGCGCGATCGCATCCAATACTTGCCGATCATGAAGGATTTCCTCGAGACCGACAACATATGGAACTGGAGATTCCGGGAAGAGTTGGCCACGCAGTTGGTCGAAGCGGTGACCCTATTTAAACCGGACGACGTGGAATTCTACATTGTACCGCTGTCGTTCGACCTCATCAACGACAAAGTCGCCGCTGTCAGACACGTCGGATTCTCTTTGGTACGAATTCATATATTTTCGTCATCCGCGTGCGAAAAAATAACTAACACCAGTTTTCTAAAGCATATTTTTTAACTTCTTTGAGCCCAGAATACAAGAGAATCGAGTGTCATGAAAAATGGCTTTCCCATATTAACACGTTCGTCACCGCGTCATCCAGATCTGGGTGACGGGTATGCTTCTGTTGGAGCCCCGTCACCCAAATATGGGTGACGCTTCTCTTATTCAAGTTAATAGGATTTTCAGTTGGATTTTTAAAATAAATTTAAAGAAATAAGCACTAAAATATAAATGTGGGATAAACAACATACATTGATGCAATTTTTGGTCTGCGTATCTATTAGTTTCTGTGATTAAAAGGTTTATCACTTTTTCAATCTAAGAATAACGAAAGCATTTCACTTGCGCTAATGTCAAACGATAAATCCATCGGAAGCCCACTATTTCCGGTGAACAGAAACGACTGTTAGCGAATTCGTTCCACTTGGATATTGTCCAATGTATTATCAACAGAGTTCAGTTTCTTATGTTCGTCTATAGCAAGTACTTCCAACATGTCGTCAAGGTCTTTTCGTCCGAACTCGACGAAATTCTATTTATAACTTTTCTTCTAAAATTCGCTACTTCGTCATCGCTACAATCCTCGCTTTCAATTAAAATTTTACGCCATCGAATGAACATTTTGAATGATAAAAAATCACCGGTGTGCGTCTCAAAAAAAGCATGCTTCGCGACTAAACGAAATATCTAGGATAACAGAAGTTCTCTAGCCGAAAACCTTATCGCTTTCCCCATTTAGGAACCCAAAATTTTATTGTCTATAATGAATCGAAGGCTCTACAGCATTAGGGCACCGACAACGCACGGGCCTACTCGAGTTTCATCGTTGCTATTCCCACTTATCGCTATCTTTACGTTTCGGCGCTCCGACAGTCGGATTTGGTGGGCCCCGCGAGAAACTCGGCCGAATCGCGCCGGGCGATGAACGTGTTAAACTGATAGATAAGAACACAGAACCACATTCCTGTTCGTCATTACCTTCGTCTAACCTTTCATTCATTGTACACAGGTCGCGAAAATTGTGGCGTATCTAGCGCAGCACAAGAAAGAAATATTCGAAGAATTGAGGTTCTCCCTGGATTTATACTCCGACATTTGGGTCAGACGTCAAACGTTCGCCATGTTGTGCGGCCACTTGATATCCAGCAACGCGATCAGTGCGAGAAAGTTTTGCTTAGAATTGTTGCCGGTGCTATTGAAGCTATCCACGGACAAAGTACCGAATGTGAGGTTGGCGGCGGCCAGATCGCTCAAAAACATTCCCGCTGGTCGTAAGTATTCTGGATCAATTTCGTAGACTATTCGATAGTTACGTCGGCCATTAATTTGATTTGTGTAATCAATTGCGTGGTTTAATCTTCTAGCGGATTGGTTGGGCAGAGACGAGGTGGAAGAAGTGGGGAGAAGACTGCGAGAAATGCGAACGGATCCGGATAGGGACGTTCGAATAGTGGTCGGTGGCGAGGAGAATCCCACGATAAACACGTTGTTGGAAAGTAAAACTGAACCATCCAGGAACATCCTGTTTTAACGAATAGTGGGGTGAACCAAAAACTACAATTGTAAAAAGTCAGCTCAACTTTATATACATACCGGAACAAATATCGGATTAAAATGAAAAATCTACTATTTAGTGTGGTCCAGATAGAGACAGAAGAATATAAGTGCGATTTATTGTTGCCGTCGACCAAGGTATGGACGTTTTTTTCTATACTCTTTAAACTTCAAGACGGATAGCAGGTATCATGGTCGAAAGACGTCGCCGGAATTATTATAAGAACGCGTGCGCGCGTGCCCTAAACGACTTAACGTATGCGTGTTTAGTATTCACGAGTATGTACGCGTTTACCATTGTGATCAATTTGTATATGTAAGTGGGGTCCCTTGGACAAGCCGGATGTTACTAATTGGGGGGGGGGGGGTACTGTCATCGACGGGATATCTTGTTCTTTGGTAAATCGTCGTCGCGCGTACTCTTCCACGCGGCGATATACAAGGTGTCCCATATAGACGTGCGTTATTATTAGTAGGAAGGTAACTCCCTGTTGAATAGTGACGCAATAAAAGGATGAGAACTAGTTTTCACACACTTGTTCTGTATCTTTTATCTGTGTCGTTCATGCGCTTTATTCTTTTAAACATAGAAATGCCGCGGAAAAAATGCCGGACATGTCCCGGGGGATCGTGCGCCATTTGTAAAAAAATACAACTCTCGGTTAGATGTTAAAATGGGTTAGATGGAAAGGCGACACGTTTTTTTTACTCGTTTTGCATGTTTTTTAGTTATTCGGTCGTGCGAGTGTGTACATATAAAATCGTTTTAGAATCGTGCGCGATTGGCTAGGAAAGACTTTAGTACCTATTAGACGATAAGATAATAAGACACTAAAATAGTAAAATAATGTGAATACGTTTTCGCTTGGTCTGTATCGGTTACGGATATTCCGGATATCCCATGGAGGATCAGTCAAATATAAGAACGTCGTGATAATACCGGTTGTTCTGGAGAATCGCGGGCGGTTTCATGTAAATAACTGCTACATATTAGATAATATAATAGTAAAAGAATGAGAACAAGTGTTCACTTGTACTGTATCTTTTACGTGTTACGTTGTTACTACTACCTATCGATAAATAGAAACGCTGCGATATACCAGGCGTGTTCTGGAGAATCGTCGGCGTTTAATAGAATTGAATAACCGCGTCCTTAGATAATAAGTTATTAAAAGAGTGAGGACACGTTTTCACGTGTTCTGTGTCTTTTAATTGTCTATACACTAGCATTTTATTAGCTTTAAGGTATAGAAACGCCGCGATATACCAGGTGACCCAGGGAATCGTGCGCGATTGGCGAAAAGGATTAACTGCCTGTTAGATAGTAATTTGGTAAAAGAATGAGAACTCGTGGGTTTCCACTTGTTCTGTATCTTTTGCATTTCCTAGTGGACTGTTCCAAATCCATAAGTAGAGAGACGCCGCGATATACCAGGCATGTTTCTGGAGAATCGTCGGCGTTTAATAGAATTGAATAACCGCGTCCTTAGATAATAAGTTATTAAAAGAGTGAGGACACGTTTTCACGTGTTCTGTGTCTTTTAATTGTTCATGCACTAGCATTTTATTAGCTTTAAGGTATAGAAACGCCGCGATATACCAGGTGACCCAGGGAATCGTGCGCGATTGGCGAAAAGGATTAACTGCCTGTTAGATAGTAATTTGGTAAAAGAATGAGAACTCGTGGGTTTCCACTTGTTCTGTATCTTTTGCATATCCTAGTGGACTGTCCCAAATCCATAAGTAGAGAGACGCCGCGATATACCAGGTGTGTTTCTGGAGAATCGTCGGCGTTTAATAGAATTGAATAACCGCGTCCTTAGATAATAAGTTATTAAAAGAGTGAGGACACGTTTTCACGTGTTCTGTGTCTTTTAATTATTCATGCACTAGCATTTTATTAGCTTTAAGGTATAGAAACGCCGCGATATACCAGGTGTCCCAGGGAATCGTGCGCGATTGGCGAAAAGGATTAACTGCCTGTTAGATAGTAATTTAGTAAAAGAATGAGAACTCGTGTTACCACTTGTTCTGTATCTTTTGCATATCCTAGAGGACTGTTCCAATTCCATAAGTAGAGAGACGCCGCGATATACCAGGCGTGTTTCTGGAGAATCGTCGGCGTTTGATAGAAACTAATAACCGCGTCTTAGATAATAAGTTATTAAAAGAGTGAGGACACGTTTTCACGTGTTCTGTGTCTTTTAATTGTCCATACACTAGCATCTTATTAGTTTTAAGGTATAGAAACGCCGCAATATACCGGGTGGCCCAGGGAAAATGCGTGATTGGCAAAGGACTTAATTTAGTAAAAGAATGAGAACTCGTGTTTCCACTTGCTCTGTATCTTTTACGTATCCTACAGAACAGTTTTTGATCCATAAAAGTAGAGAAACGTCGCTCCAGCGCATTTCTGGAGAATCGTCGGCGTTCGATAAGAACTGTAATCTTCTCTTAGATAGTAAATTATTAAAAGAACTAGAACACGATTATACGTGTTCTAGGTTTTTTTAATTGTTCGCACACATCCTCACATTAAATAGTTTTAAGGAGTAGAAACGCCGCGATACGCCAGTTGTTCTGGAGAGCCAATCGCGGGCGTTCTAATTCAAATTCCTACACGCTGTTAAATAATATATCGCAGTAAAAGAATGAGGACAAGTTTTCGCTTGTTCTGTATCTTTTACGTATCCAATCCAATGAACTATCGACATAAGTGTAGAAACCGCCGCGATATATGCCGGGTGTTCCGGAGAAATCGTCGGCGTTTAGTAGAAATGTAACCACCTCTTAGACAGTAAGTTATTATTAAAAGAACGGGGACTCGTTTTCTTTTCTCTTTTTTCCTTTTTTTACGCGTTCTGCATCTTTTAATTGTTCGGCCGCGACCAACGTTGAGTCGTTGTTTTAAGGTATAGAAACGCCGCGATACACCACGTGTCCGAGGGAATCGTGCGCGTGCGACAAAGGAGCAACTGCCTGTTAGATAGTAAGTTAGTGAAAGAATGAGAACACGTTTTCAACGTGTTCTGTATCTCTTACGTGTCCTAGCTCTTGCAAAGTGACTATGTTAAGTGTAGAAACACCGCGATATACCAGCTGTTCTGGAGAATCGTCGGCGTTTGTTAGAAAATTTAACCAGCATTTATATTAGTATGAGAGTAAAAGAATGAGTAACTGATTTTTAACCCTTTGCACTCGGACGATGTGTCACCGTTACACGCGACACAATATATTCACGTGTCGTAGTTACCATCTGTTTTTAATTATTATTATTATTTTGTTAATACTGCAAGGTAAAATCAGGTAAAATGCAAAATTAAAAACACCGAATAAGTTAATTTCTTTCGAGCTTTGAATTAATTTTCTTATTAATCGATCACAACAACGAAATTTCGATGTTTGTAAAAGCTGTTCCGAGTGCAAAGGGTTATTTCTTCTGCATCTTTTGTGTATATATCGCATGCGTGAGCCTAATAATTAAGTATAGAAATTAATCGACAGAGAAGTATGGCGATCACGCGACAAGAAGGCACGCATTTCGTTTGTATCATCCCTCCCCCCTTTTACTAGCTGCTCCAGTGGCTCCAGTTGTTGCTTCACTGCCGCGGCTAGTGAGAGGGGGAATTTGAACGCGAGATTCCCTTCTTGTCGCGCGAGCACTATAACTGCCTCTTAGATGATAAGAACGTAATAGAATAAGAACTCGTTTTTCCACTTGTTTTTTTTGTATATCTTTTACTCATCCTGTAGGAACAAATGTTAGTGTTATAGAAACCTCCCGCGATATACCAGGTGTCCCAGGGAATCGCGGGCGATCTATATAATAATCTATAATAATCTATTCTTAGATAGTAAGTTGGAAAAAGAATGAGAACTTGTTCTACTTGTTCTGTATCTTTTCCGTGTCCCATGTAATGCTGTTATAGGTGTAGCAACGCCACGATATACCGATGTTCCGGAGAATCGTGTGCGATAGTCAAAGGAATCATAGCAATCATACGACAAGAAGGCACCTTCGCGTTTATATCCTCCCCTCTTACTAGCTGCGGCAGTAGGGCAGCTAGTAAGAGGGGAAATGTGCCTAATTGCCACTGAGATAATAACACTAGTAAAAGAAAAAGAAATCGTTTCCCCGTGTTTCGAACCTTTACATGTACGCAAGGGAAGGCAATTACTTCGTACATTAGCGTAGGAATATCCCGTGATATACCACGTCTACTTAGAAATTAGGGGCATTTGATAGAAAATTATAATCGCCGCTTAGATAGTAAGTTAGTAAAGAAATGAGAACTCGTTTCTAATTGTACAGCATCTTTTATGTATTGTAGCTCTCGCCGATGACCATGGAAATGTAGTAACGCCGCGATATATCCGATGTTCTGGAGAATTGCCGGCGTTTGCTAGAAATGTATCCGTCGCTTAGCGCTTTATCATTTTAAACGAATCGGAACACATTATTTAACCTTTGCATTCGGATCTCGCCGATACTGCGACACAATATATTCGTATCGAGGCGCGCCATCCGTTTTTAATTACATATTTTCCTTTGTTCCTGTAAGATAGTCACGTCGAATGCATAATTAAGAACACGAAATCTTTTATTTATCGGTTCTTATAAAATCTCCGAGCATCGTCACAATTTTTCTTCCAACTCGGCTCCGTATAACGAAGTCTCAATGTTTCCAAAAATGTGATCCGAGTGCAAAGGGTTATTTATTCTGCGTGCTTGTTGTATATTTATTGCGCGTGCGGGCGAGGCTAATAATTAAATATAGAGACTGATCGACAGAAAAATACAGCAATCACGCGACAAGAAGAGTCACCATCTCGCGTATATCATCCCCCCTTTTACTAGCTGCTCCAGTGGCATCCAGTTGCTGCTTCACTGCCGCGGCTAGTGAGAGGGGGGGGGGGGGAACTTGAACGCGTGGTACCCTTCTTGTCGAGCGGGAACTGTAACTGTCTCATAGATAATAAAAACGTAAAAGAATAAGAACTCGTTTCTTTAACTTGTTCTATATCTTTTACATATCCCATCAAAACGTCAGCGTAGGAACGTCTCACGATATACTTGTTGCCCCAGGGAATCGTGAACGATCAATAGAAGAGTATGATAACCGCACCTTAGATAGTGAATCGGTGAAAGAATGAGAACTTGTTTTTACTTGTTCTGCATCTTTTACCCATTCGTGTTTGACTGCACATTCGTTTATAGGAATGTTACGATATATCGGGTGTCCCGGACAATCTGGCGCATTTGTCAAAATGTTACAATAATCAACACGACAAGAAGGCACCTTAGCCTTTTATCCTTCCCCTCCCCTCGTATTATCTGCTCTAATGTTGCAGCTAGTATGAGAGGAAGCATGTTTAATTGTCTCCGAGATAATCGGATAGTAAAAGGGAAAGCACTCGTGTGTTCCCTTGTTCGCTTGTTCTGGATCTTTTGCTCGTTCGTTCTGGCAGTTCCGTTAACGAAGAACCGTTCCGCGATATACCAGGTGTCCCAGGGAATCGTGGACGGTCGATAGAAAAAAGTGTAATAATCACCTGTTAGATATTAAGTTAGTAAAAGAACGAGAACTCGTTTGCCCTTGTCCTGTATCTTTTACGTATCCGATGAAGTTCGTAAAATATGTGTAGTAACGCCGCGATATACCGTGTGTCCCGGAGAATGGTGCGCGCGGTCGTATAAATAATATAGCGTTTATGCGACAAAAAGGCACATTTGCCTTTGTATCCTTGTCCCCCCTCTTGCTAGCTGCCCTACTGCCGCAGCTAGCAAGAGGTGATTGCGTGCCTAACTGCCTCTCTTAGATAATAAGACCGTGAAAGAATAAGAACTCGTTTCCACGTGTTTCTAGATCTTTCACATCTTCGCAGGGAATCGCAGTGTATCCGATCAAAAACCAACTCTTAGATGATAAGTCGTTAAAAGAATGAGAACTTGTTTCCAACTTGTTCTGTATCTTTTATGTCGCCATGAAGTCCGTATTTTCTATATAGACCATGAGAATGTATAGTGACGCCACGATATACCGGGTGTCCCGGAGAATCGTGCACGCATTCGTCTCTATGGAATATAGCTGTCATGCGACAAGAAGGCACGTTCGCGTTTATATATATCTCTCTCCCTCCCTCTTGCTAGTTCCGCTACTGCCGCAACTAGTAAGAGAGGGGGACGCGTGCCTAATTGTCTCTTAGATGATAAGACCAAGAAGAAAGAGCAAGAACTCGTTTCCACGTGTTTTTCTAGATCTTTCGCATACTCGCAGGGAATCGCGGTGAACAAATAAAAATGAGAAGTTTAGCCGGCTCTTAGATAGTAAGTTCGGTAAAAGAATGAGAACTCGTTTTATCGCTTGTTCTCTGCATCTTTTACGTGTCCTATTCTGCAGAAGACCATATAAGCGTAGAAACGCCGCGATATACCAGGATCTCTTTCTGGAGAATCGTGGGCGTTTTATAGAAACGTAATAACACTCGTCTCTTAGATAGATAAGATCTCTGTCTCTCTTGAAGAAAAAAAAGAAAAAAGAAAATGAGTTCCCGTTTTTTCTTGCGTCCGCGAAGATATTTTCGTCGTGATCAATTAATCGTAAGTGCGCGTTTTTTATATTATTGTAAGAGTACAATTGTAAGTACAGTTCCAAGGGAACGATTCGCTGTAAATGATCGCCGCTTTGTTGAACAATAAGATTTAAAGAATAAGATAGAATAAGGACTTTCTTTCTTGTGTGTTTGTTTGTTTATTTGTTTTGTACGTTTTATCCGGTTCGTCGGGGGAATCCGAACTCCGTTGGAAACCCTGCGACGTGCCGAATGTCCTAGCGATGAATCGTTCTTAATTAGACAGATAGAAGACAAACAGTAAAAGAACGAGAACTAGTGTTTTTATACTTGTTCTGTATCTTTTACCTGTTCGAAAATGGATTCGGAGCTGCAAATGTATAGAGAACGCGGCGATATACCGGGTATCCCAGGGAATCGAGCGCGCGATTGGCATAAAGAATTGACTGCCTGTTAGATAAATAAATTGGTGAAAGAACGGGACACTGGTTTCTATTTGTTCCGAATCTTTTACGTGTTACAAGTTGAATGCCACGGGGGTCACCGGTGATCGGCGCGCCCAAATTGATAGGAATATATATAATTTAAAACAAATGTCAATATCTAAAATTTTGTATTATTGCCATCGTGAATTCAAACGGCGACCCCTGTCGCAATTAACATGTCAAACATGGTTATACACTGCAACTTATCTATTGTATGTATTATTATATTATCATTGTATGTATCACATAAAAGAAAATTCATTGTGGCGCCACGGTCAATTTCTGTGAAACCGGGGTGGCATTCAACGTGTTAATTGTCACGGTAAGTCCAGGGAACGATTAGATAGGCGAGATATACAGCAGAAGAGAATAAAAACCGGTTTTCACTGGTTTCGCATCTTCTGCGTATTCGCAATTGTTTGATTAAGTACGTATAGAAACATGGTAAACACCGATGATATCCGTCTCTTAGATAGTAAGATTAGTAAAAGAACGAGAACCGGTTTTTTTTTTTTCACTGGTTCTGCATCTTTTACGTGTTTCGGTGTTCTCGCCTACTACCTGTGTATAGAAACGCCGCCGCGATATACCGGGTGTTCCGGAGAATCGCGGGCGTTTCATAGAAAAGTAACCGCTCTTCTTAGATGATAAGATGTTTCATCCGGTTCGTCGAGAAATCCATTGAATTGTTTTCTGTTCGAGTATGCGGTCGCCTCGGTTGTTAGAGGTTAGCCCATTGACTGCCAGCTACGAGATATCTCGTAGTAGTGGGTGCTGCAAGTTTAGATCGGCTACAAATGGCTATTTGAGTTAGGAACTATCAGAAAGGATGAATGAAAAATGTATATAGTGTAGAGAACATATTGATTATTAATAAAAAAAATACTGTAAATGCCATTGCAATATTATATATCAGTTAACTTAATATTATTATATTTTGTAGAACTTCATGTTTTCCTTAAAATTAAAAACGCAGAACTACTGTTCAATAAATCGTACATGTATAGTAAATGAGATTTCCTTAAGCGCAATGGTATGCGCGGATTGTAATCGAGAAAAATGGAAAACGATCCTCCGAATTGATTTGTACATTTTGTAAAATTACCGAATACTGCGTGTCGATGATGATATCGTGTAAGAGTATGTGTGTGATCAACGGTACATACTTCGTCGTGAATGTATTTTGGAGACATCCGTCGTGCGTAAAAGCCGGGGATCGTCTTGTCGAGAGTCGTCGACAACTTACTCTTCTTGTAAGCAACGAAAATTAGTTACATTTGAATGCGTGTGTAATGTATAAGAAAGAAGTTTTGTTTATAATATTCTGTATAATATTTTGTGTATTTAACAATGAAACGATGAATACACGCGATTTGATTTAATTTCGGTCGTTTTGCATGTTTTCAAAACATTACCAATCTAACCTCTAGATCCTTGACTAGTTCCCAGTATTCCTTTAATCACACTAAATTCAAGATAAAGAAATATTCTTTTGGAAGTTCGATGCCAATATCTTTTCTTATAAATAACGTACAAACTTTTCGAGAACCAATCATTCTTATTTTATTATTTCTTATTTATTAGTCATTCTTTCGTTTAACAATGTTTTCTCTCTCGCACGGATCTTATACGTAAGGCACTGAATATAAATCTTATAATATCGACGTAGAAAAATTACAGACGTATACTAAAACAGCAATAAATGAGCATAGTAGTTGCTAAACTTTATTACACTCGTCTTGCAACATTGGGACCATTTAACCCTTTGCACTCGAATGGCGACTCCAGAGGAGCCATTGAAAATTGTCGCGTCACGTTCCAAAATAATTTTATTAAGCAAATTTATTTATATATTTAAAGAATTGTTAAAAGCGCGACTGTTGCATTAATCACAATATTCAATCTCATGTGTGTAAGATGCACCACGTTATGTAAAATGGGAATACCATGGGTGAGAAAAGCTATTTTAAATGTTCCGGTGATTTGGAATCGAGTGCAAAGGGTTAAGCGTAGGATCGCGGGAAAGCCTAGAATATACCGAGGAATTTTCCAGGCGGACAGGCCGGTAATTGGCAAGCCTTTTCCTCCATCTCCGTCTCGGCGACGGTGCAGTCCCGCAAACAGTAGCGCCATCTGATTTGTCGTCCTTTCCCGCAGGTGACGCTGCAACTGCTCCAGTCCGTCCACCGACCCCACTTCCGGGAATTGTCGGTTTCCCTGCGGCTATTCTTCGACGGTTTCGACGGTGTCTTAGCATTATTCTCTTGCGACGATCGCTTCTTCATCGCAAAACTCCCTTTCTTCTGCTTTGCCCGGTTGTACGCCTCTTTCTTCCGTACTTTCTTATCCGCCACGATTTTTGCCGTAGACGTTGGCAAACATCTTTGAACGATCTCGGACGTCTCTTTGAAGTCCGCGCAAGTGGCAGTGACGTTCGAACACAAGTCGTCGATCGCACGAATTCCGATCCTCTTTTCCACCTTGTCGTCCCTTTCAGCCTCGTCGACGCTCAAGTAATTCTCAAGCTCGTCTACCTTGAAGAAAATTTAGCTTTAGTGGAACTTCCAAAAAAACTACACGATGGAGTGGAGGAAACCGGGGGTAAGTTGTTCCGACGGTAATATACAGGGTGTCCCAAAAATGTCTAGCAATCCGAAAGTAGGGGATTCCTGAGGTCGTTTGAAGCAACCTTTTCCTTAGCGAAAATGCAATCCGCGGCTTCGTTTACGAGTTATTAACGAAAAACAGTGACCAATCAGAGGCGAGATCATTTGGCGCGAGACAGCCGAGCCAATGAGCGGAACTGGGCTCCGCGCCCTCGTTCACTGGGCCGCCGCGCGCCAGCCGAGCTCGCCTCTCATTGGTCAGTGTTTTTTCGTTAATAACTCGTAAACGAAGCCTTGGAGAAAATTTTCGCAAAGGAAAAAGTTGCTTCAAATGACGTCAGGAATCTCCCATTTCCGGGACACCCTGTATTTCAAATACAGTAATAGGACCTTCTCCTGCACGCCACCAGGCCGCAGCTTGATCCATTAGCGTGGGTCGACACAGAAATTTTCTTTGCTCTGATTTAGCTTACGATTCACTGCTGAGACAGAGTCCACTGCGGATTGGAAGCGCGGTAAAATTGTGGGGATCTGTGCCAGCCAGCTTAGGGAGCAAGTACAGTGTGCAGGAGTAGGTCTCATTATTGTAAAAAAAGAATTGCTAGAAGTTTTGGGGGTAAGTTGTTCCGACGGTAATATATTTTAAATAAAAAAGACTCGCGTTATGCTTTCAATTGTTTTGAAAGCGTGGTCCGATCAATTTTTACGTTTTGTCAAAATCGGCGCTTCTAACCTCGCGGTCTCCCCTATCCGCAAAAGTACCGAAGCACTGCATTGTCAAAAAATTTCGAAGAATCAGCGCAACGTGGCTTCGTTTCATTTCGATTTTGAAATCAGAATTATCTTTATTTTTAACAAATTCGCGTAGTGCTTTCAATTGTTTTGAAAGCATGGGCCGATCAATTTTTACGTTTTGTCAAAATCGGCGCTTCTAACCTCCCGATCTCCCCTATTCGCAAAAGTACCGAAGCACTGCATTGTCAAAAAATTTCAAAGAATCAGCGCGACGTGGCTTCGTTTCATTTCGATTTCGAAATCAGAATTATCTTTATTTTTAACAAGTTCGCGTAGTGCTTTCAATTGTTTTGAAAGCGTGGACCGATCAATTTTTACGTTTTGTCAAAATCGGCGCTTCTAACCTCCCGATCTCCCCTATTCGCAAAAGTACCGAAGCACTGCATTGTCAAAAAATTTCAAAGAATCAGCGCGACGTGGCTTCGTTTCATTTCGATTTCGAAATCAGAATTATCTTTATTTTTAACAAGTTCGCGTAGTGCTTTCAATTGTTTTGAAAGCGTGGACCGATCAATTTTTACGTTTTGTCAAAATCGGCGCTTCTAACCTCCCGGTCTCCCCTATTTGCAAAAGTACCGAAGGACTATATTGTAAAAAAATTTCAACGATTCAAAATTATCTTTATTTTTAACACGTGAAAAATTCTTGCAAGCTCTTCGGGGATCCCTAAGATTTTTGGAATCGACTATACCGTAAGAGCGCGCGTGCCTTCTATCGGTACTAAAGGGACTGACGTGAACGAACGCGATCGAAAGAACGAAGACTTCGTTATTACGCGTCGGTATCACTTACTTTAGTGACCAGCATCTTCGCGAGGTCTCTCACTTCCTCGATCGACCGCGCTGCCCGACCGAGTTCTGCTCCGCTATTCGCCGAACCGTCGTCTCGCGCACCGCATTCCGTGGACGGCTCGAATTCCCGTATCTTCTCGTAGTACCGCAGCTCGTCCTCGTCGCTTCGAAACCCGTGCCTCGACTCGGCCGTTCTGTCTCTCTTCGAGCGCGTTTTCGTGTCGTCGCCGCCGCCGCTCGGGTTTCCATTTCGAATGTCTCGTCCTCCGCATTCCACCGAACCATCCAATCTCTCGTCCGACGCTTCGCTTGCCCGGCCGCCATCTTCCTCGGCCGATAAGACCGCCGAGCCACCGGCGTTGCCGTTGTTAGTCTCGACGACGTTCGCCGACGTGTCTCGCGACGCACGATCCTTCCCGGATACATTATCGAACGGTATCATCGGGCTTACGGATCTACGGCGAAAATTGTTCTGATTAGACGCTAGCTTAGAAAATCCTACGTGTGATTTACCGTCGGCTCTCGCAGCGATGCTCATTCCGTCGCGGGCCGATCTCGGCCGTTGCGCGTGCTTCGTTCGCGCGGTCTTTCGCGACCTCCGGGCCTCGCCCTTCGACTCGTTTCGCTTCTTGCCCGCGTGTTTCTTTTTCTTCTTCGATTTGTAGCTCTTTTCGCGGCGCTCGTTCCTCGCCTTCCTCTTGAAACGCAGCAGCTCTGCTTTTAGGTTAGCGATCGCCAAGCTGGAAGCTTTCGGGCATCGCTCGCCCGCTTCCTCGAGTTTGTCCGCGCCGTCGGCCTGTTTCCTCCCGTCCAACGGTTTCTCCGCTTCGTCGCCCGGGGACTTTTCCAAATTGCGTTTCCTCTCGATTTTCGCGCGGTCGTTTCGCCGCCTTCGAACCAGCTCCACGGAAAGCGCGGGATCTTCGGGAACGGTTTCCGAGTCGCGTCGTTCCACCGCGCGTTCTTTCGGCGGCTCGCGATCCGCCGCCGGCGCCACCGACCTCGCGTTCTTCTCGATCAGCTTTTCCTCACCGCGCGACGCGCTCGAAGCCTGCTCGGACGAGGACTTCTCGTCCTCGGAGACTTTATTCTCCTTGAATTCGCGCGACGGAAGCTCGCCGAGTTCTCTCGCAGCCTCCTCGCTGCTCGATCGCTCGTTCTCGACGCAATAATCTCGCGAGTTCGCTTCTCGTTTCGCGTCGAACGACGGCTCGCGATCCGCCGCCGGCGCCACCGACCTCGCGTTCTTCTCGACCAGTTTTTCCTCGCCGCGCGACGCGCTCGAAGCCTGCTCGGACGAGGATTTATCGTCCTCGGAGACTTTATTCTCTTTCAATTCGCGTGACGGAAGCTCGTCGAGTCCTCTCGCAGCCTCCTCGCTGCTCGATCGCTCGTTCTCGACGTAATAATTTGCCTCTCGTTTCGCGTCGAACGACGGCTCGCCGTCGACGTTCTCGTCGACGTACCGGTAGAAGCTTCGGGGAAACGAGTCGGCCAGATCCTTGAAATATTCCTGCTCGTACGGGGAGCTTAGGCTCGACCCGGTCCGTTTCACTCGCACGAGCGTCTTCGACGAGTCGGGGTCCTCGGCGTCGTCCGTCAAGGTCGGCCCGATCAGGCCCGACAAAGTTCTCCGTCGTCGACCGCCGTCGGTCAGCGAGCACAGAGTCCGGCGTTTCCATAAATTCCCGGCGGCGTCGCTTCGACGACGCGCTCCTCGAGACAACGGCAACGCTGCATTCGACGCGGCTGACAAATCTTCCGCGCTGTTGCAGGATCCTTCGATCGCCGGATTCCGCGGACAATCTGGATCGCGATCGCGAATCTTTCTGCCGGCTTTCACGCTCCCGTCGGCTTCGAACGTCACCGTCATCGACGGCGAATCTCGTCGGCTCACTTCGTTCAGAGGGTCTTTAGAGTTCCGTTGAATGTGTTCGATGCTCGGCGCGCCGCTGTCGGCGTTCCGCGATCGAACATTATCGCGGCGATTATAGTAATCGCGATGGTAACGGTGAGAAACGTCGGCGATGCTTCCAAAGTTGTTCTCTTTCAAGGTTCGTTCTCCGTTCTGTTTCGCGGTTATGCCAACGGAGGCGACTGACCAGAGGATCGTGAGCACCCAGACACCCGTGCAGATCGGCGCTCTCAGCATCACACGCGTTGTTACACACGTTGATCTACGTCACGTCGCTCATCGGTAGCCTGCGCATTATTTTCCGAGTCGGGTCAGCGTCTACCAGGAATTGTTCTCAGTGTCTCGTTGGCTCGCGTTTTTCGCATCTCTTGTTCCCGTGCGATTGCCGTCGCTATCGATTTTTCCACGGAAAACGCGTCGACCACGCGATTTGCAGGCAAATTCAGAGTTCCCGCGAAAGTCGACCGTTACGGGGACTGTTCTTTTTTAACGCGGCTTCCGAATCACAGTGTCCGCGAATATTGGTTCTCGAAATTTTACAGTGAACAGCTAGGCTTTCTGATTAATTTATGTTTAGAAACTTTCTCAAATTTGTGACGGTTTTGGATGTACAGCAATTTTTCTTCGAGGTGTACATTGTAATGCTAGAAGAAAAACGATGACTGAACTTTTTTATTTTCTAGCTTTTTATGCGTGATCATTTGTTTAATATATTAGTCATATTTTTCTGATTAAAACGAGACTAAACACGACATGCTTCGGGCCATATTTATTATTATTATATTTATTATTATTTATTATCATTATACGTAGCAAGTAACTTATTTTATATTGTATTATAATGTCCATATGACCGTCTGGGGTCACTGTTTTTCCTTAATAACTCGTTAACGATGCCTCGGAGAAAGTTTTTCTAAAGGAAAAAGCCCCTCATTTCTCGGAAGCACCATAATTTTGGGACACCCTGCATATTACGCAGTTAAATACATTTGAAAATGCTATTTCCACGTGTAAATACTGTCTCAAAGGAAAGTTTATTGGCCAAAGTCTGTATCCGCGTGAAAGGATGCAAACTATTTCGATAATCTAAATAATTCTAAATAAAATCTAAACGAAAAGAATTTCTAAATAAAACGAACGGATGAGGGAGCAGAGGATCGGGCAAGAAGAAAGATGAGAAAAGGTGACAAGTATACAATAGAAACATTTATTCATAGAACCCGCTGCGAAGGTACAACGGAATTTTTGATATATTCTAAAGTTCCTTATCGACTCCTTACAGAGAAGTTGGCCGCAATCCGTACGAATTGTTCGCGGTTGTAAATCGAGATCTGGCCCGCTCTTCGTTCGCGGGATCGGTTCGCATGGATCGCGTAATAAGTGCACACAAGACACAGATAGGTGAACGGCGACACACGGAAATCGCGCGGGGAAGGGGGGGATGTCGAGTTCGCCGCGCCTCATGAAACACGAGAAAACATTCGTAGCCACGTGAGACCTCGACCCCGGGCGATTTCCGATGACCCGTCGAAAATTTTAGATGATACTTTGTTGAGGAGAATGATTGGGTGTGTACAAGTGACAGATTACACCCGATATTACGATTCGAGAAACACGCACCGTTCTGTGTAACGTTCGATTATTACATTAGCGACGTTCCGTTTCCTGTGAGCAACTTCACTTGTAACCTTACCGAAGGGGTTATCTACACTGTGAACAAAGTTTCGTCTTTTACACGTTCGAGGCCTTTTATCCGCACGGAAATGATAACGGATGATTAACAGGTGTCCGTCGCGTTTCGCGTATACGCCGAGGACCGAATTCGTGCAACGACGACCGCTTCGTCGAATTCGTGCCGGTGAAACTGTCGAGCCGCCATTTTGGAAGCCGAGCGCTTGCGCAGCAGCGCCACTCACGCTGCGCTCAGATCACGCTTCGCGTACCAACGGCCTCTAACTTTGTTTACAAGATTTTGGGCCTTGCGTTAACCCTTTGCACGCGAGCGGCGACTCCGAGGCACCGCTGAAATCGTTGCATCGCGTTCCAATATCATTTTTATGTCATCAAAGTTCAGATTTCAATGATCGTTGAAGATGTAACTGTCAAGATTATGTCAAGGTTATGTCGCAGGACTCGATTTCGTACGCATAAAGTGCACATTGTTGTGTGTAAAGTGGAAATACATCAGAAACGTTATTTTTAGAGATATTTAGATAGGCTTCGAGCGCAAAGGGTTAATTCAGTGTCGCTAATAATCAGCGAATAAAACAAACGACGATTTTTATGTACCATAAAAATTGAAATTTTCACACAATTTAACCAGTTAGCAGTTCGCACTGAAAAGGGGGCGCCACTTGGTTAAAGAGTTCGCATATGCTGTACGAAAGCGAAATAATTTTGAACCGATTTAAAGTAATTGTTTCGTTTTATATTTCTATGTAATCGTTAACAAGTTCAAGCGATAAAATATTCCTTTTCACAAATACCGGATACACGATTGTTGTCTTTTAATTATTCTCTGGACTTTGTTCTTCTGTTTTAAATCCGACAATGGTTCACGACAAAATTGATCCAGGGTCTCGTTGCACTAATTCGAGCCTCCAAGCATAATTCCTCATCGCATCCGATATGTTTTTCCTCCCGATACACGTTCCGTTTCTTCATCGCAACGATTGCGACGATCTTCCGTATGAGCGCTTACGACACGTTTTATTCTCTCTTTTTTTTCCTTTTTTTTTCCTTTTTTCAAACGAGTGCTCACTCCGATTTCTTCCGATGTCGATGGCTAAAAGTGCATGTGTTGTTTCCTCGGTGCAATGAAAGGGACAGGGGAAGACGTATGAAGATACACAGCCGGGTTTACATACAATTATTCGTTTCTTATGATACAGGAAGTGCCACAGTTTAGAAAAGACCCTCTACAGGGTGTCCCAAAAATGTCTAGCAATCCGAAAGTAGGGGATTCCTGAGGTCGTTTGAAGCAACCTTTTCCTTAGCGAAAATGCAATCCGCGGCTTCGTTTACGAGTTATTAACGAAAAACAGTGACCAATCAGAGGCGAGATCATTTGGCGCGAGACAGCCGAGCCAATGAGCGGAACTGGGCTCCGCGCCCTCGTTCAATGGGCCGCCGCGCGCCAGCCGAGCTCGCCTCTTATTGGTCAGTGTTTTTTCGTTAATAACTCGTAAACGAAGCCTTGGAGAAAATTTTCGCAAAGGAAAAAGTTGCTTCAAATGACGTCAGGAATCTCCCATTTCCGGATTGCGAGACATTTTTGGGACACCCTNGGAATTGTCGGTTTCCCTGCGGCTATTCTTCGACGGTTTCGACGGTGTCTTAGCATTATTCTCTTGCGACGATCGCTTCTTCATCGCAAAACTCCCTTTCTTCTGCTTTGCCCGGTTGTACGCCTCTTTCTTCCGTACTTTCTTATCCGCCACGATTTTTGCCGTAGACGTTGGCAAACATCTTTGAACGATCTCGGACGTCTCTTTGAAGTCCGCGCAAGTGGCAGTGACGTTCGAACACAAGTCGTCGATCGCACGAATTCCGATCCTCTTTTCCACCTTGTCGTCCCTTTCAGCCTCGTCGACGCTCAAGTAATTCTCAAGCTCGTCTACCTTGAAGAAAATTTAGCTTTAGTGGAACTTCCAAAAAAACTACACGATGGAGTGGAGGAAACCGGGGGTAAGTTGTTCCGACGGTAATATACAGGGTGTCCCAAAAATGTCTAGCAATCCGAAAGTAGGGGATTCCTGAGGTCGTTTGAAGCAACCTTTTCCTTAGCGAAAATGCAATCCGCGGCTTCGTTTACGAGTTATTAACGAAAAACAGTGACCAATCAGAGGCGAGATCATTTGGCGCGAGACAGCCGAGCCAATGAGCGGAACTGGGCTCCGCGCCCTCGTTCAATGGGCCGCCGCGCGCCAGCCGAGCTCGCCTCTTATTGGTCAGTGTTTTTTCGTTAATAACTCGTAAACGAAGCCTTGGAGAAAATTTTCGCAAAGGAAAAAGTTGCTTCAAATGACGTCAGGAATCTCCCATTTCCGGATTGCGAGACATTTTTGGGACACCCTCTATATTGGCCCGATCATCCGTTTCGCTTGATCCGATTTCTCGGGATATACGCATGATCGATCATTTTCTTTCTTTCTTTCGTTCTTTCTTTCTTTCTTATCGGCCTACGCGAAACGTATTCTTTCTCACTCTTCGAACGAAACAAACGATTATTCGATCCGGTTCGCACCGCAGAAATTTTTTTAGCGGAACTACGATTTTTCATTGTCTGTTCTACACATAGCACTGTAAACGCTTCTGACAAATACCTTTTAACGTCTGACAAATATACTGCAGCTTTTTATGCCATTTTTTTCTTTTTTTTTCTTTTTTAAATATTGTTCTTACTCCGTATAAAGGCTGAGGTCGGACAACGAACGATTCAACGAAGAGGGTTCTCTTTCTTTCTCGAGCTAGAAATAAAAGAAAAACTTGATCGATTTTTGTTTAACTCGCTTTCGGTTTCATTCATTCTTTCGTGTATGTACTTGTTTATGGCACAGAGGATGGATTCGCAGTGAGTGATACAAAATAATTGGAATTTCAGCGTCTCCCTACGGTTTTCCTTACAGAGAATATCTTTTTTTCGTTTGTAATTGTTCGAACGACTGCGCGTCGCAGATCTTCTCTTATCCCGTAATTAATTCGCGGCTTCGCTATTTATTCGACGATCTCGGAAACAATGGAAAACATTATCGGATTACAAAAAGGAACGTTCATAATCTCGTTTGGAAATTTGTCCGCTCGGAGACTTCTCTACGAAGGCGAAGTTTCACAGAGAAAATAAGACCTTTCGCGCCAATAAATTGACAACTTGAGCTACACTTATTATTCTTTAACCTTGAATATTTACTTTTCCCAAAATATCGGATCTCTGAAAGCACAAATTTCAGTAAACAAAGCCGCAGATTGCATTTTCGCAAAGGAAAAAGTTACTTAGAATGACTTCAGCTACCCCACATTTCCGTATTGCGAGTCATTTTTGTGCCTTTCAAATCAGCGTTCGCAGCTGCCGTTTCCATAAGCTTCCAAATATCGAAAGTCAATAAACGAATTAAAACTGCAACCGTTGTTGCACAACGTTATAACAAATATTAAACGTATAACAAATTATGAGATTTATTTTTAGAAGATTACACCCTATAAAATGTTACATTTCATCACTTTTACAAAATACCGCAGTATTTGGGCCGTCCGCAGCAACGCCTATACTTGTTCTATTTACATTTGATTCGCGTTGAATCTGCGCAATGTTAATCCAAATAAAACCAGCACTTCCGATCACGATCGCCTCGCGATTCTGCGAAGACAGGAGCCAAGTTCGAACGTTTGCTCGGCTGTAGTCGTTCGAACAGTTACAGGACAGTCGCACGCGGCTCGGTAAAATTAGAAAATAAATCCGAATCTGCGATCTAAAGAACGAAATCTATGGTCGAGCAAATCAGGCGGTCGAAGCCGTGTGTCGTCTCCGCGAGACTTCGTTCGAGGTAGGTTCCTTTCATTAACGTTACATATTCTGATTGAGCATCTAAAAGGGGACAGACTGTGCAGGTGGGCGGGTGTCGCGAGTGTCCAGTGACGTACGGCCGTTCCACCGACGATCGCCCACGTATGTATGTACTTCTCCCCGGGCCATGACCGCGATCATGGGGTAGACAGGGGCCGCCCCCCCGTTCGCCGAGGGAACGGGGGGGTCGCGGAACCAGCGATTCCGCGTGCGATCGCGAAACAGGGCGGGGATCTCGACAGGACGAGATCAAACTTCCAACACTCGTGGCACGGAGTTGATATCGAGCGCACAGCTGCCGGTTGTATCAGGTGAATCCTGAAGATATTCTTCGGATGGCATTATTCCTAAGGTTCTCATGTCGTCCCTGACTTGCTCCACCTGCATCGGATTTAAGGAACAACAGTTAAATACACTGTCTGCTGACAAAATATAATTAACTCTGCGGAGTTAATTGATATAATGTTTGCATTAATTATAATGCAAGCGGTGAGCAGAAGCATGATTTTACGAATTTTAGTGCTGTTTTGTTGCTAGACCGTGGATTTTTAGATTGAATAAAAATTGTCCAGGTTAATTGCGAGAGACAGTGTGACTGTGTAGACAACGATTTACTTAATATAATAATAATAATATAATAATAACAATATAGTATAGTAAAAACGTAAAAGTCAGATAGAAACGTCTTTGCTCTTTTAACAATTTCAATATAAAAATGTAATAATAAAAATAAATATAAAAACAATATAATATAATAGTAATATAGTAATAATGATATAATATAATAGTATAATATAATAATAATCTAATATTATAAGAAAAATATAAAAATATTCCGAAAATTTTCTGCCGTCTTCACAGTTTCGTTTTTGTTTCCGCGGAAAGTTGCATTGAAAAATAAAAGAAAAATCATAAATAAAATAAGAATAAACAAAAACGCTCACAAAAGATCAAATCGATCGGTCGAACAGTTTCGGAACCGTCGAATCCGACGGTTTTGATACGGTTTCCCGAACTCGCGATGCGAAGATTCGCAAAATTGAACGAGGACGGGAATACGATTTGTTCTTCGGTTTCGACTTCTCGTTTCCCGAGGAGCAGTTAGCTTCCACGAAAGAATGACAGGGACTCTGACCTGTCGGAGGACTCTCAGCAAATTGAGACCAGCAACTTTTTTCAAGTCGAACACGTTCCACTTCCCGCTACGGAGGAGCTCGGCGAACAATTCCGGATATTTTGAGACATCCTCGAGACCTCGTGGTGTTCTGTCAACAAAATCGATTATAAGCTAGATAACTATTGTTGTTCAAACGGCGATTCTCAACGTCGCTGTTACGCCGCTTTCGTTGCAGAACACGGAATGCGCACGTTGCAGCGTAAAAATTGATCTCGTTTAGGTCGAAATGTTGTGCTTTTTTTTGTTTTTATAGAAACATGCAAGATACCGCTGAAAAATGTATGCGAATGAAACAGTCGAATATCGTCGATCCGAACAATTTTGTTCGAAAGAAAAGAACTTTTATGGGAATACAGCGCGACATAATTTCGCTAAAAATCGTATATAATAATAAATCAACGAATGATACTCGATGCTCAATATTTTGTTGATTTTTCTTTGCATTTAATGACAGTTAAAGAAAACATTTTATAGAGCTTTTTAACAGATTTTTGCTTGAACAATTTTGTTCGAAAGAGAAGAATTTTTATGGGAATACAGCGCGACGAAATGATAGCATAATTTCACTAAAAATCGTATATAATAATAAATCAACGAATGATACTCGATGCTCAATATTTTGTTGATCCTTCTTTACATTTAACGACAGTTAAAGAAGACACTTTATAAAACTTTCTAATAGATCTTCACTCTCAGTTATCTCGAATATCTTTTGGCAAGTAATTCCCGAATCTACAAATAATTATATATAAAATAATTCGCAGTTTATGTACGCATTGCGCATTTCTTTTCGAGGCTGATAATATTCTCCTCGCGCTTCGATCCGAGTTAAGATTCGTCGAACTCGCGCGGCGAGAAAAAGCAATTCTAATTGGCGAACGCGGACTCCATTGGACGACGGCGCGGTGTATTAATCAAACCGAATTAACCCTTCCGCTCGAAAAACAATGGACGTTCTATTAAAAGCCGGCGTCTCGGCCGGACGAATGGCCGCGGTGTTTTTCGGCGAACAAGAAAAAGAATTTATGATCGTATAATTAGATTTCCGGGGAGGGCCATTAATTCCCCGTTCGCTGGTTTACAATAACTTGTACAGATACGATAAATTTCGCGACGCGACCACTAAATTCTGTCCACGGGAAGGTGGTGCGCCGGTCCCGGCGCGCCCATAGGGCGATAAATCTTTTCGAGGTAACACCGCCGCAGCGAAAAGGTTAATTAGAGAGCCGCCCAGAATTCCCCTTAATTAAACTTACAACTCAAATTTGATCTCGCCTCGTAATGTTTCAAATTCAAATCAGGTGAGCGGCGGGCTTACTTTCCGCGCGGAGGAATTGTTCGGCCGCTGTAGAATGAACATTTCACGCTGGAAAATAGCGGAAAATGAACAGCTTCGCGACGATCTCCTCGTTTCCCCTGTCTCTCGTGTTCGCTGTGCGAACATCTTCCGCTCGAATAGCTCGATTTTTCGCTTTATTTTCGAATACTTTGTTCGCTCTTCGACCTTCGGACGGCGGCCATTTTTAAGCATTTGTGGCAGCCACGGCTTAGATCCGTTTGCATTTTTGCGATTTAACAAAATTAATCCTTTTATTAGTTTCAATATTAATATTTGGACCATTTATTTTCAAGGTTAAATTAAAAGTCCATTTTTTGTTGTTCCGAGAAAATTAAAGGTTAACATATTATTAGTCAATTAAAAAATGTAAATTAATTATGTCGAGTCCGTCGATGTTTCTACTAATTTGCCAATATGTAATTTGATTATTGAAATTTCTTTCAGGCGAATTTAATCAAAATAATATATTATACACTTACAGGCTGTAAATGGACTTACACCATTTTCATAATTGGTCGATTGTCATTTAATTTCATTTAATTTCATTTAATTTCATTTAATTAATTTATTTTATTTATTCATTTTATTCATTTCATTTAATTAAATATAATTAATTCATTTAATTAACACCTCTCTCTCTCATTTAATTTTAATTATGATAATGTTTTTTGATATATTAAATATTAACTAGTTGTCACAAAAAAGGTTACACTAAATTAATCGCAAATTATGTAATATCTCATTTTAAAAGAAAAAAAAATGGTCAAAATAAATGGTCCAGTTAATAATTACTAGACCGCGAATCTTTATGCAAGATAAAAATCTTCATCAATTTTTACAAAATATCAGTCAAACAGAAATTTCGTTCTTCCTTTAACAATTTTAACGAATTGAAAATAATACACGCGTATCCTTAAATCTGTTTAAATAGTTTCGATTTCTTAAAATTCACCTACCCGTTTTCATTGTAAATGTATGAAATTTTTATATGTGATGCTTGTAACTCTGGGTCCAAATTGACCCGCGGCGCCCGCCGTCCGAAGGTTAATCGCCCGTCTCTTCGACTGTTTTTGTGATTCAGATTCGACGAGGTTCGACGCAGGGTTCGATGAACTTTGAACATACGTACTTGTTGATACCGTCGAAGTCACCGCCGACACCGATGTGGTCCACGCCAATCAAGTTCCTAATATAGTAAATATGCTCGGCGACGTCGGAGACGGTTGCCTGAGAGCCACACTTTACGAAATAATTATAAAACGTTACCATCACCAGTCCACCGTTAGCAGCCTGCAAAAAAAGCGATAATATTAGATCCGTCGTTCGATTGGACTGCGATCCAATTACAATAAATTGTCTCCCAAATTGTTCCTCAGCTTGTAAACAAAAATGAACAATTTGGGAAGCTATTCTAGCTTTGCGGCTCGTTCTTATAATCACCGATCATCGACAATTATAAAAATAATAGAGATAATTACAACAGTTATAAGAATAATCTCCCCTCCCAAAATTGTCCTCTTTTTTAATGAAATGAATTACACATCAGACAGAGCTTCTCGCTCATAAAAGCCCATAATTTACGTCAGAACTATCAGTCACTAAAATAGGCTGGTTTTTGCTGCCTTATAAAAGTAACAAGTCTGCACCAATTGCTATGCGCAAGCTTTTCTTCTGTGTCATAATGAGTAAATTGATTCGCTAATTTTTTGCGGAAGCATCTTTGCAATTTTATTTGGAATTTGTAACTCGAGAAAGCGTTCCAAGAGTGTTCTAAGAAATCACAATGTACTCGTTTATCAATGATTTATAAGACCTATGTAACGTTAAATTTTTTTTTACAACAGCATCTTTATGACTTCATCACGAATTCCCAATTGAAAAAGACACTGTCCTAAAAAATCGTGGCGTTTCATTGATCAATGATTCACCAAGGAAATTAATCTATTGTTAATTCAATGTTCGCAATATGAAAATAAAGAGGATGTTCAATTTAATCGAATCGAAAGCAAAAACTATATTTAAAAAAATATTCGTTCATAAACAGTTAAACCACTGCGTTTCGTTTTCATTATTCTATCTCAACGAAAACCGAATGCACTAGTAATATAAAATGAAAAAGCAAGGCTTAAATATATAATTTCAGTTGTTATATGTCTCTTTTCCCGCTTTTTGTATGGAAACCGACCGCTGTGCAACGTTAATTGCAACTTGAATAAGGCAACGAAATGTTCCCTTTTGGAAGTTTAAATGATCTCCGCGACAGCCGTGTAACTTGCTACCCCTGGTCGGAATGACCAGGCTGATAGATGTTAATATTTCAACGTTCGTGAATTTCATGGCCGGACAGAACGTCGATAGTAATATCGTTCGGCGAAGATTGATGAAAAAACGAATCAATTTTCGTCCGTTCGGAGCCTCAGACGTTAACCGCCGCGCCTCCTGCACGCCGCAGTTTCTGACCGCAGCTACTGCGGCACGTACTTCGACCGAATCTACTGCAATGTTCCCGCGTAACCGCGTCTGCCTAGACCGCGTCTCTCGCTCTACGGCAAGCTCGCCGATATCTGCAGAGTCCCTCTGTTTCATCGATCGTATTTATTCTTAATATTAACGCGTTCACGCGTCGATCAACAAGCCTCTTAATTGCCGAGTGGCCTTAAATCTGAAACGATGATAAATCAGTTAAAAAGTAGAAAGTTATATTGTATCTAATATACAGGATGTCCCGAAAATGTCTCGCAATCCGGAAATGGGAGGTTCCTGAGGTCATTTGAAGCAACTTTTTCCTTTGCGAAAATTTTCTCCGAGGCTTCGTTTACGAGTTATTAACGAAAAGATGCTGACCAATACGAGGCGAGCTCGGCTGGCGCGCGGCGGCCCAGCGAACGAGTGCACGGAGCCCGGTTCCGCTCATTGGCTCGGCCGTCTCGCGTCAAATGATCTCACTTCTGATTGGTCACTGTTTTTCGTTAATAACTCGTAAACGAAGCCGCGGATTGCATTTTCGCTAAGGAAAAAGTTGCTTCAAATCACCTCAGGAATCCCTTACTTTCGGATTGTGAGACATTTTTGGGACACCCTGTATTGTATCTAATGTAACCGCGTCTGCCTAGACCGCGTCTTTCGCTCTTCAGCAAGCTCGCCGATATTTGCAGAGTCCCTCTGTTTCATCGAGCATATTTATTCTTAATATTAACGCATTCACGCGTCGACCAACGAGCCTCTTAGTCGCCGAGTGACCTTAAATCTGAAACGATGATACGATCAGTTAAAAAGTAAAAAGTTAGAAATAGAAATAATTATTATCAAGCATAGTTATTTTATCTGCGTTTAAAATTAACGTATATTTATGTCAACATTTTATGTCAACGTCGTGCAACTCAATGTTTCAATTTCAATTAAAGTATTAAAGTATTAAGTATTATCAATTCAAGTACACACACACAGATCAAATACATATGTTACTTTAACCCTTTGGAGTCTGATTTATTTTTCGTTAATTCGCGTTATATCTGAAGTCAAGTTTTACGTGCATGTAGATGCTAATAACAAGAAATGTTGATTTTTATCAGCGTTGGCCCGACTTCACCAACAAACTGAGAGGTTATGTGGTTACATGTAAACAAATATGTGCGTGGTATGCATTCTAAGACTGATATACATACATATATGGGACACATATGTCCCGATAGACTCCAGAGAGTTAATTTTATACCACTTTATATTACTTTAAGTATTAAATAATATATTACTTTTACTTTGAGATTGTTGGCGCGACAGATGAAGTATTAAATGACGTTATTGCAACTACTATTCTTCCACTCTATTTTCCTACGATACAGCTACAATTTGTTCTGAATTTTTTACAAAATATTGCACAAATGTTCAATTTTCAGGACGCTAAGAAACCGGTGACTTACGCCACTCGTCGACTAAGACGCTGAATTCCTTCTGCAGCAACGATACGCGATCATCACAGCAGCGAATTTCTTTAACAATTTGCCATTAACTATTCATTTGCTTCTTTTCTGTTGAAGTGAAATATTTAGACTCCATCGTCATTTACCTCGGCCCCTTCCGGGTTCCATCGCTTTGTTCGGGAGTTCAGTTCACTCGTGACAACGCTAGCAATTATAAGTTCGAAAAACCTAACCTCGAACAGTGTTAAATTGCTATCGCCCCCTGCTCTTGCATTCGTTAATATTTTCCGTATATTTCACGAGCATGGATCGCTATACTTTTTAAACAGAGTGATCTCGGTTCTATGAATTAATTAGAGGATAGAAGTCGTATGTAGCATCGAAACGACGAAGTAACATTGTAGAAACAGCGTAGAAGGTAAAAGTAAAGTGGAAGACGTCGTAGAAGTGGAACTGTGAGAGCGCCCGAAATTCTGCAAGTTATGGCGGCCAATACTGGATTATGTTGCGGAAGATCTCGCATATCGAATTTTTTGGTCCTACTAACGTTTTACGGTCCCGGCAAATATGTGAAAACACGGGCTGCACGTACCGGCGCCCGGTAACTCGCAGCAGTTTGAAGATTGTAAATATGTGCGGCTCCGTGTATACGTCTCTGTTTTCTGAAAAATTTTCCGCCCAGCATGAAAAGACTTAAGAGGAAAGTTGCAACAGCGTTGCCCTGCATTCTACGAAAGCGAAGTTTCTTAAAAACTGAAGGGCACGCTCCGACTTTACGGCGTGCAGCGTACATTTACATACTTTTGCTGGAACGGCGATAACAACAGCTGCTCGACGAAGCATTTGGCGTTCGGATAGTCGACGAAGTCGAGGCTACAGGAGCAATTGGTTAACGAGGCACACCTATTAGATCTTTCAATTTCACGACTTACGAATCTTCCGTAACGAGGAGGCGCGCGTAAAACGGGGGAGGCTCTGTAGGGTGTCCCAAAATTATGGCAATTCCGGGAAATGAGGGGTTCCCTAGGCCATTTGAAGTAAATTTTTCCTTTACAAAAATTTTCTCTGAGGCATCGTTCACGAGTTATCAACGAAATCAGTGTGACCAATGAGAGGCGAGCTCGACTGACGCTGGACAGCCGAGCCAACGAGCGGTCGAAACCCGGTTGCGCTCATTGGCTCCGCCGCTTCGCGCTAGGCGAGCTCGCCCGCTCATTGGTCACTTCTTTTCCTTAATAACTCGTAAACGAAGCCTCGCAGAACATTTTTGCTAAGGAAACAGTTGCTCCAAATGACCTCAGGAACCTTCCATTTCCGGATTGCAAGACATTTTCGGGACACCCTGTATAATATATTATAAATATAATATAAATAAATTAATATATATATTAATAAATGCATAAAATATATATAATAGATGCATAAAACGATTCACAGAGCGTGACTGCAACGAACGAGTTCGATTTCGTGGTATGTTTGGGACAGAAAGATTTCGTAATTTCGCGCGGCGCGCGTTAGAATTCCGTAAGAGTCGCAGTCGGCGGCGTACCAGCTGCTTTAGAATGTCGTCGGGCACGTTTCTCGAGGAATTGCAGATGGCAAAGGCCGAAGAGTGAGAAAAAATGAGGGGTGCTTTGCTGGCCCTTAGAGCGTCCCTCATGGTAGCCCTCGCTGTATGACTAAGGTCTATCAGCATTCCGAGCCTATTCATTTCCTTGACTACTGCTTTCCCGAACGCGGTCAGGCCGCCTCCTGAAACAAAAGGTAACCTCACTTTTTTCCTCGTCCCTGTTTACGATCGTTCAACGTTTATTGTTTCGGCACAATGGAGATATCGCGCGACTCCCTCTCGGCAGATACGAAAACGTCGCGGCGTCACGTTCCCAGCAATTTATTTCATTTAAACGTTTCAACGTGAACGCGGAAGGACTCTGACACGTGCTGGAAGCACTTCGAATCGCGCCGGACTCGTTAAACCAGGTAAAAAACATGCCGCGTTAACATCTACGAACCGCTCCGCCGAGAGGGGCGCGGCTTTATTGTTCGCTTTAATCGCGAAATTTATTTCATTATTCCGACCGACAACCCGGAAAACGTCGAGTTTCATTTCACGCGTCCACGGATGCTACGAACAGATGTGTGGAAACAGGCACTTTTTTTTGTTCTTTCTTTCTATTTCGCTCGGAATCAGTTACTGTGTTTCGTATCAAACTTTACGACCGCGGCGTGAATTTGGATTTCGTTGAAATCGACGTTCATTAGATCGTTTCGTAAAACGGTGGGTGTATGTCAGAGATGTTTTGAATGGAAATATACAGGGTGTTTCCTTAACATTTGCCCACACTTTTTCCGTGCACTTCAGCACTTCAAAAATTGTTATTTCTTCAATAAAAAATCGGGGTCATCCTAACCTTTTGCAAACAGCATCGCATATATCTTACTTCATAGTTTCATTTATAGATTAAAATCGGACACCCTGTATATATAAAATAATACGTATACATATATGTATAATACATATACAGAGTGTCCCAAAAATGTCTCGCAATCCGAAAGTGGCGGATTCCACAGGTCATTTGAAACAACTTTTTCTTTTACAAAAATTTTCTCCGAGGCACCGTTAACGAGTTATTAACGAAAAACAGTGACCAATGAGAGGCGAGCTCGGCTGGCGCGAGGTGACCAAGCCAATGAGCGGAACTGAGCTTCGTGCGCTGGTTGGCTGGGCCGCCTCGCGTCAGCCGTACTCGATTCTTATTGGTCACTGTTTATTCGTTAATAACTCGTCAACGGTGCCTCGGAGAAAATTTTTGTAAAGGAAGAAGCTGCTTCAAATGATCCGAGGAACACGACATTTCCGGATTGCGAGACATTTTTGAGACACCCTGTATGTACAGCGTGCAATTCTCAACTAATCCATAATTGCTACAAAAGCAAATCTATTTAATTTCTAAGCTTTATAATGCACGCGTACATTATGAAATTATGCTTCCGAAATCAAACTAAATAATGACATTTTAATGTTACGGGATTATGCGATTTCAATGATAATTCGGAATCCGTGGAGGCCGGAGAGAAACGAGATCTCGTTTCACGATAATCACCTTCTTCATCCTCGTCCTCCACCGACGAGCTTTTCGCCCACGGTGTGTTGCATGTGTGCGTGAGCGTCAGATACCGTACACCCAATTGATACAATGTCCTTAAAACAGCTAAACTACTTCCTAGGCTATGTCCACCCTCCACTCCGATCAGGGATGCTATTCTGCCTCTCTCGTGGGCCTCCATGATTTCTGGAAAACAAATTCAATTCTTATTGCTAATCGATTACCCGATAATAAAAAAATTAAACGTTTAAAAATCAGTTCCAGCAAAAAAACGATAATTAAAGTACGAAGAATCGTGAACATAATTCACGAGATAAAATTGAGAATGGAATGGCTTGGTAAAAAAAAAAGGTTATTAGGTGAGCATATGTAACTGTGCAGGGTTTCCCAAAAATGTCTCGCAATCCGGAAAAATGGTAGATTCCTTAGGTTATTCGAAGTAACTTTCTCCGTAGCGAAAATGCAAGCCGCGGCTTCGTTTACGAGTTATTAATGAAAAACGCCAACCAATAAGAAGCGAGCTCTGCTGATGCGAGGCGGTCGAGTCAACGAGCGCGCGAAGCCCAGCTCCGCTCATTGGCTCGGCCGTCTCGCGCCAGCAGATCTCGCCTCTCATTGGTCATTGATTTCCGTTGGATAACTCGTAAACGAAGCTGCGGTTTGCATTTTCGCTAAGGAGAAGGTTGCTTCGAATGATCTCAGGAACCTTCCATCTCCGGATTACGAGACATTTTCGGGACACCCTGTATATCGTCCATCAAACTGAGCGCTGAAGCGAACACCCCGGGCGACAAACGAGCGGCTCGACGGATCTCATAGATGGCGACACGTCGGCGCGACGAAAGTCACGCGATGAAAATCGTGCTGTCGAAGTTCCGTGGAACTCTGCGACGCGCGCGGCTCTCGATGTGCGACGGAAATCCTTTTTTTTTTAGAGCGACGGCGCGACGCGGCGTTTTGTCGAATCGAGAAGAAATAGTATCGGGCATCGAATCGAAACCACCGACGTGACGGCGAACAAGCAAAGTTTCGCGTTCCACCGGAATTTACGAGTCGTGTTTAATGGGAGCGGTGTTCACTCGCGTACGGACGAACAAAAAGAGTCTCGCCGGAGAGTGCAGGAACGAAGCGGGTGGGGTGGGGGAGAGGGAGAAAAAGAAAAGAGCGTTTCTGTGTCGCGAGCGCGCGCGCGCACGCGGTTCAGACGCGTCCGACGACTCGTTTCAGATAATTGTGAAAGATATACTCACCCCTTGAAGATGCAGCGAACTGCATGTGTTGCGAGTACTTCTCTATGAGCCTCTTAATGAGGTCCACCTGCTCCAAAGTCAGCTGGACCGCGTTGAGATGCTGGGATTCGCACGGCACGTAGGCAGCCCAAAACTGCGAACAAAAAGGATCGGTTGAATTATTATTCTTCGGGTAATTATGAAACCGCGAAACGGCTGGTGCGCCTCGGCTGGTTCTTCGCTTTGGAAAAACCGGCGTTCGTTCGCTTTTATCTGGCTTTTAACGTTTCTTGCGATTAACTTGGACGAGTTTTATTATTTGCAAGAAAATAACGAGATCTAAAACAAAACTGTGGAAGAGTTTGAGAATATTTTTATATTATACATACATGTGTACCGAGTGTCCCAAAAATGTCTCGCAATCCGGAAATGGCGGGTTCCTCGGATCATTTGAAGCAGCTTCTTCCTTTACAAAAGTTTTCTCCGAGGCACCGTTAACGAGTTATTAACGAATAAACAGTGATCAATAAGAATCGAGTACGGCTGACGCGAGGCGGCCCAGCCAACCAGCGCACGAAGCCCAGTTCCGCTCATTGGCTCGGTCGCCTCGCGCCAGCCGAGCTCGCCTCTCATTGGTCACTGTTTTTCGTTGATAACTCGTTAATGGTGCCTCGGAGAAAATTTTTGTAAAGGAAAAAGTTGCTTCAAATAATCCGAGGAACCCGTCACTTTCGGATTGCGAGACATTTTTGGGACACCCTGTATATC